TTTTTTCTTTCTTTTTTATACTTTCAAAATAAAATTTTAATTACACAGTTATATTAACTTATTTTTCTTTAAAAAATCAAACGTTTTTTTCTAAATCATGTTTGTTCTATTACAGTTGTCTCAATTTTTCCCCCTTTGCCCTCCTCCACATCCGACCCTGCCCCCTCTCCCACAGTCAATTCCCACTCTGTTGTCCATGTCCATGAGTGATTCATATATGTTCATTGTTTAGTTCCTTCTCCTTCTTTCCACCATTGTTCCCCTTCCCCGTCCCGTCTGGTCACTTTCAAGCTGCTCTATGTTTCCATGCCTGTGGTTTATTTTGTTCATTAGTTTATTTTGTTGAATAGATTTCACTTATAGGTGAAATCATATGGTTTTCACCAACTGGCTTATTCAATTAGCATGATATTTTCCAGTTCCATCCATGTTGTCACAAAAGGTAGGAATCTTTCTTTCTTTCTCTTTCTTCTTTCTTTCTAAATGCAGATTGATTTTATTTATTTATTTTATTAATGTCAAGATCCATTATAAAATATTAAAAAATTTAAATCCATTATAGTCTCAGCAATCATGACAGCTACATAGAAATAATCAAGTAGATCAATGAAATAAAATGAGCATTCTAGAAACAAATGTATATGTCTTTCTAACTGTAATATATGATTAAATTGATATTTCAAATCAATGGGAAAAATAAGGCTTATTCAACATATAAGGCTCATGGATCACTATTTCTTGAAATAAAACAAGAATAGAGCCCTATTTCACACATTATATAACAAATATTCAGGTGAGTTAAAAATCAATATGTAAAATCTAAGGAGTTTTAGGAGAAAATACAAAATAATATTTTTCTTTCCCTGAAGTAACATAGTCCAACTCAGAAGCTATAAAGTAAAATATTGACAATATGATTGTATTAAACATTTAAGACTATACAGTAATATTCATGTAAAAAAAGTTAAAGGACAAGTAATAGAATAGGAAAGTATTTGCAACACATCTATAAAAGAGTTAATAGTTGTTTTGGTTTTTGTTGTTATTGTTTTCTTTTTTTAGGAAAAAATTTTACAAACATTTAATCAAAAAATGGATAAAGAATACCATAAAGTCATTTAAAGCTTTTTAAAAATAATAGAAAGAGGCAAGAAATATACAAAAACAGGTTTAGTTTCAGCAAATAATAAAATAACAATTAAAATAACATCATTGTCACAATCAGATTAATAAGTATTAAATATATAGGTAATATCAAGTATTGGCAATTCTGAAAGGAACTGAGTATTCATAGACTCTTTTTCTTCATCTTCTTAAAGCAGTCCCTTTAGCATATTTTGCAATGCTGGTTTGGTGGAGGTGTATTCTTTTAGCCTTCTTTTATCTGAGAAGATCCTTATTTCGCTTTCCATTTTAATTGAGAGCCTTTCCATGTACAGCAGCCTTGGTTGCAGGCCTTTGCTTTCAATGACTTGGAATATTTCTTGCCATTCCCTTCTGGCTTGCAGTGTTTCTGTTGAGACACAGCTGCTAGCTGTACTGGGGCTCCCTTATATGTTACTACCTCTTTCTCCCTTGCGGCCTTTAGAATTCTCTGCTTGTCTTCAATATTTGCCATTTTAATGATGATGTGCCTTGGAGTGGGCCTCATTGAGTTACTATTGAATGGGACCCTCTGTGCTTCCTGGACTTGTGTGACTTTTTGTCTTCTCAAATTAGGAAAGTTTTCCATCATGACATTTTCAAACAGGTTCTCTACCCCTTCCTCCTCCTCCTCTTCTTCTTCTGGTATCCCTATTATATGGATATTATTACGTTTCAGGTTGTCCTGCATTTCCCTAAATGCCTCTTCATTCTTTTTGAGTCTTTTTTCATTTTCCAGCTCTTTCTGGGAGCTTTTTTCTACCTTGTCCTCTAGCTTGCTGATTCGGTCCTCAGCTTCATCTAGCCTGCTTTTGATTCCTTCTACTGTGTTCTTCAATTCAGAAATGGTATTCTTCATTTCTCTTATTGATAGTTTCTATGTCCTTTTTCATGCTGATATAGTTTGCAGTAAGTTCCTCATACTTTCCCTGTAGTTTTTTTTAATTCTCTCTGAGCTCACTGAACTCATTGAGCTTCCTTAGAACCGTTGTTTCGAACTCAATATCTGATAGTTTACTTGCCTCTGTTTTATTTAATTCTTTTTGTGGGGATTCCTCCTTTCCCTTCAACTGGGAGGTGTTTCTTTGTCTTTCCATTATTTGTGAGACTCTTGTTTTTGCTTCTGCTTCTTAAATTGATCTGTCTTGATTTTCTGACTTTGTGATGTGAACTCCTATGGTAGTTGACCACTGTTTTTTTGTTTGGATTTTTTTCCTGTCTGGATCTGCCTCTGATGATGTCAGATGTTGGCTCTGTCTGACCTTAGGCAGTCTGTTCAAGATTTCCAGGAATCTACTGTCTGTGGCTGTCTCTTTCAGCTGTTAATCTAGTCACTCTGCACTCAGCAGTCAGACTTAGAGACACCACAGGGTGGGGCAGAGTCCCTTCTGTGGGTCCTCTCATATAAAGGACCCATATATATTGGGTCCTCTCACACTGCTGCTACTTGGGGGAATGGTCTGCCTGAGTCAAAAAGCTGCTGCTGTATGGGAGAGGAGTCAGCATCCAGATCCTGCCGGCTACTCTATCAGATCTTTCCCCAAAGCCTCCTTCCCCATTCTCGCTTCAGGCGTCTCCAGCCCACTCTGGATCCCAGGGTAAGTGGCTGCAAACGAAATGTATGCATTGGCCCTTTAACGGCTCTTTGCATCTCCAGCTGCCCGTCTCTGGCAGAGAGCAACCCTGCCACTTTTCACAGCTGGCTGTTTTCTGTGTACTTTTTGTGCTCTGGTGCTGTAGGCTGGAGATTCCCACTTATGGTTTAGACCCCACTCTTCTCAGGGGGATCCAACTGGCCATTTCAATATCCCTCTGGTACTGCTACCTGTGGGCACACCTCCCACTTTCTCAAGTCTCTATCACACTCCTTACCAGTTAGGTTGTGTTAAAGCTGATTCTTCTGTCTGTCCGAGGTTATAAGGCTCCTCTCTCGCTATTGTTCAGTTGTTTGTTCCAGGTGATTTCTCCACAATTTAGTTGGAATTCCAGGTTGGTCCTGGGAGGAGGTCAGTGTGATTTCCATGAACTCCTCTGCCATATCGATTCCCATTTCATGTAAATATAGAGACTTTTTATGCCTTTCAGTTGCTATGAAATTTACTTTCTTCCTTTTTAAAAAAAAATTTTGTTGATTATGCTATTATAGTTGTCCCATTTTTTCTTCCTTTATTACCCTCCACCCTGCAGCTCCCCTCCCACCAGCATTCACCGCCCCTTAGTTCATATCCATGGATTGTTCATATAAATTCTTTGGCATCTCTATTTTCTATATTATTCTTAACCTCCCCATGTATATTTTGTACCTATTCTTTATGCTTCTTATTCCCTGTGCCTTTTTCCCTGTCCTCACCTCTTCCCCTTCCAACTGAAAACCCTTGATGTGATCTCCATTTCTGTGATTTTGTTCTTGCTCCAGTTGTTTGCTTAGTCTTTTTTTTTAGGTTCAGTTGTTGATGGTTGTAAGTTCATTGTCATTTTACTGTTCATAGTTTTTTATCTTCTTCTTTTTCTTAGTAAGTCCCTTTAACATTTCATATAATAAGGCCTTGGTGATGGTGAACTCATTTAACTTTACCTTATCTGGAAAGTGCTTTATCTGCCCTTCCAGTCTAAATGAAAGCTTTGCTGGATAGAGTAATCTTGGATGTGGGTCCTTGGCTTCCATGACTTTGAATCCTTCTTTCCAGCCCCTTCTTGCCTGTAAAGTTTCTTTTGAGAAATCAGCTGATAGTCTTATGGGAACTCTTTTGTAGGTAACTGTCTCCTTTTCTCTTGCTGCTTTTAAGATTCTCTCCTTAACTTTAGTCTTGGGTAATGTAATTATGATGTACCTTGGTGTGTGCTGGAAATTTACTTTCTATTTACAATAAAAAAGCCCAGTAAAGAGAAAAAGAATAATGATATGAGGAAGGGAAAGACAGGGGTCTTGTTCTAGAGATGCAAAAATTTCCCAGTTTAAATGTTACTACATATTGTAAAAGAATAAAACTGGTTGCAGTCCAGGAAATAAAACATCATCCTGGATCATGAAGATACCCTGTAAAGTTGTCAACAGATAGTTTTTAAAATAACGAAGTTGATGACACAAAAAACATATGTATTAAAAAGGAAGCCATGAACCTTCCTCATCTCTAATACGAACTGGAATGATGCTGTAGGTCATAAATGAGCATCCTTGAAGGCTTTATATATGGCAAGCACTCTGTAAGTGCTCTAAGGACATCACATTTTACTCTACTATCACCCAGTGAGAAAGCCATTAAGTTATTTTACATACAAATAAACAAATTTAAGGTTTATGAAACTTGCCCGAGTTCGTTTCAATGTCTGAAAACTGTGGCAAAGAGATTTAGAATCACAAAGTTTAACAACTAGAAGAGCTGTAAATATGTTCTTCTTCCTTTTGTTACTAAAAATGATGAATGAGTGTAAATCACCAGCTATTGAAAGGATTTTTTAAAAAATCACCAGGATTGAAAGAATTTTCAAAAATACAGGCAGAAAGGACTAAACCTGAGACACTGGAAACTGTAGGCTGTGCAGTGAGAGGTGTCGATGCTGGAAAAAAAAAATACAGAGACGGGGTCAACCATGCGGTAAAAACTCTCATGCTTCAATTCACTATGGAAAAGGACTGCTATACATTTCACACATAAGAAAGGCCCAACAGCAGAAATTCAGACACCTCTGTGATGTATATAATGTGCTAAGAACCCACGAAAACACAAATTTTTTGTCATACATCTGTCACGGAAATGGATATGAGAGGGAGTTAATTAAAAAACTGATTCTTTTCAATTATTCAGTATGATGGATATTTAATGTCTGAGAAATAAAATCTAGAAAAAAAGACACACTTTGTACCTTTGATACATTTTGGAATCTCAGGCTCCCAAATACTGTTTGCTTCACACACAATAGTGGCACTGCCTTCAAGGTAAAAGCCCTCCAGGCATTCCAATACAACCGTCGCTTTGTAGTAAAACCTTTTCCCAAGTCCTGACACCAGTCTTCCATTTTTAAGTACTGGATATTGACATTTGACCACTGAAAAGACAAGAAATTCCAGAATTAATGGAACGGTGTTTTAATGTAGAATCAAAAAACTAGTGCAAAATAGGAATGTACCCGGGAACAAAGAGACAGGAAATGGAAGGCAGGATGTTATTTTTTCAAAAGACGTTATATGTGCATTTTATAACCTTTCCCACCTAGAACAGACTGTCGTGACAGGTTATTGGTTTCCTGTATGTTTTCCTATTACTGACAGGTTTTGAGAGAGGGCTGATTACCACATACAACTTTCGGGTGAATTCAAAAACAGCTTGGGATGCTCTGTGGCTCTAGGAATTTTTAAAAATAAATTCTATGCTGACACCGATTTAGTAGCCTGATCTTTCAGAAAGGCAGGAAGGAAAGACCCTTGTATAAAGGTAATACTTGAGCTCTATTTCTATTGTTCTCACTTCAGGTGTACCGATCTTTTCTATATTGTGCTCAACTGCTATTAGTCACAGTAATGACTCTAAGTTAGGTTTACTGGATAGAAATCTCACACAGTAAAACCATTTTCAGTGCACAGCCTGTATGAGGTTCAATAAATGCAAACACTAATCATGTGATTTCCAACACGAAAGACATAGAAGAGTTGCATTATTCTCTACCATTTCCTCATGCCATTTGTAATCAACCCTCCCCACAAGCACCTCCAGCCACTTTCCCCAACCAGACAACCATTGATCTGTTTTGTATTACTCTAGCGTTTCTTTGGCAGAGTGTCATAATGGGCTCACAGCCTGTGAGTGTGGCTTACTTCACTTAGCACAACGCATTTGATATTGCTTTCTGTCCTGGTGTCGATTAGAAGCTTATTGCTTTTTATTGAGGAGTGTTATTCCAGTATGTGGATGTGCCATTGTTGTTCATTCATTCACCAGCTGAAAAGCAAGTGGCTGTTTCCAATGTGGCGTGAGTATGACTAATGCTGCTATGAGTATTCTTACGTAGGTTTATACGTGAACATGTTTTAATTTACCTGGGTTGCTGCACTGTATGGAAGGAAAGTGTATCTCTAACTTCGTAAGAAATTGCCAAACAGTGCTCTAAAGTGGACATACACTTTAAGTGCATTCTTAGCAGCTATGCATGAGAGTTCCAATTGTTCCATATCCTTGCCAGAGCATGGTATTTTTAGATTCTTTCTTGTTTCTATTTCCAGCCATTCCAGTGGGTGTTTTGTGGTATCTCATTGTGGTCTCCAATTATATTTCTGTATTTATTAATTATAGTGAGCAACTTTGCATATAGTTTCTGCTATCCATATATTTATGTTGATGAAGTAGGGCTATTCACACATATTTTTTCCCATTTTGTAAAATATTGGGTTGTTTTCTAATTGTGTTTTGAGAGTTCTTTATGTATCTTTGACACAAGTTCATCGTCAGATATGTGCTTTGGAAGTATTTTCTCCCAGGCTTTGGCTCATTTTTATAAACTCTGATAACAATGTCTTTTGAGAGCAGAAGCTTTGAGTTGTTAAAGGATCACACTCTTGTACTTAAGAAATCTTTGGCCAAGCCCTGACTATGTTCCCTCTTTTTAAGTAAAAGTGTTATCATTGCTAGTTTAAGTTAAGTCTGAACTCTGTTTTTAGTGCATGAGTGAAAATGGCGCACACATGGGTTGTGGTTTTCTTTTATGGCATATTGGTGTTCAATTGTGCCTGAACTTCTGCCATTTTTTCCACTGAATTGCTTGTACGTATGTGTAATAAAATCAATTGGACCCATATGAAAGGGTCTGTTCTAGGTTCTCTATTCTGTTCTATTGTTTCTATTATATGCTTTTTGGTATACTGTATAATAAGTCTTGACACCAGATCGAATGAGCCTTTTATTCTTTTTCAAAATTATTTTGAATATTTTAGTTCTTTTATGTTTCCATATAAATGTTAGAATCAGTTTGTCAATTTCTATAAAACTTCTGCTGGAATTTTTAGTGAGACGATAATTTATAGGTCAGTTACAGAGTATTAACATCTTTGTTGTACTGAGTCTTGCAACACATGAACAATGAATCTCTCACTGTTAATGTCTTCTTCAAGTGTTTAGTTGTTTTAACCATTCGAATACTGTACAAGCGTTGTTAGATTCATTTGCAAGTATTTCATGTAGTGCAGAGTTGTAAATAATGCTTTTTAAATTTCTCATTGATTATTGCTAGTGCATAGGCTCACCATTGATTTCTGGATGCTGAGCTTGTGTCTTGCAATCTTGGCAAGACTTCATTCACTCATGTTTTCCACACAGACAATCATGCCATAATTGAGTAAGTCTATTTTATCTCTGCCTTTCCCTTGTGATGTTCATTTCTCTATCTTGCCTCACTGTGCTGAAGAGAACCTCCAGTATATAATGATGAATGGACTGGTAGGAGTAGACATCCTTGTCCCATTCCTACCTCAGTGGGAAATATGTTATCAAGTGTAATGTCTGTGTGATTCTTGTAGGTGCCTTCTATTAGGTTGAGATAGTTAGGTTCCCTCTATTCCTAGTTTGCTAAGAAGGTTTACCATGAAAGATGATGAATTCTGTCAAATTCTATTATGATTATAAGTTTTTTCTCCTTTAGAGTCTCTGTATATGGTAAATTATCCTGATTAATTTTTGAATTTGCATTCATGGAAAAAATCTTACTTGTTTACAATATATTCTTATTGTTATTATATTTGACAGGATTTTATCTGTTAATATTTTGTTTAATAGTTTTGGTTCTATGTTCACAGTGGATATTGTTCCTAATTTTCCTGCCGTGTTTTGTCTGCCTTTCCTATCAGGTAGTGCTGTCCTTATGAGACAAGGTGAGAGGTGTCCCCTCACTTCAGTGTTTTCTTGAAGAGTTTGTACAGAGCTGTGATTGTTTACTCTGGAAGTGTTTAGTGCGACTCCTGGAGATGCCATGGGGCCTGCAGTTCTCTTTGTGAAAAGGCTTAAGTGAAAAATTTGTTGGCAGAAAGTTGTACATTATTCCTTTATTGTCCTTTCAATGTCTGCAGAATATTTAGTGATGTTTTCTTTTTCATTGTTGATTTGGTAATTTGTAGTTTCCTCTTCTCTCTCAGACTGGCTATGGGTTATCATTTTACAGATCTTCTCCAAGGAACAAGTGTGGGTTTCAATGATTCTCTCTACATTTCCCTTTTTTCAATTTTATTGCTTTCTAATTTTATCATTTTCTTCTGTTTCCTAATTCTGAGTTCAATTTGCTCTTCTTTTTTAGTTTCCTAAAGTGAAAGCTTAGAATGTTAACCTGAAACTTTTCTCTTGTTCTAACATAAGTGTTTCATGCTATGAATATCCCTCCAAGCAATGCTTTTGCTGCAATCTGAAAATTATGATATGTTGATATATTTTGTTTTCACTTCTATTCAATTCAAAGCACTTTCTAATTTCCCTGGTGTCTCCTCCTTTTATTGTGGTTCCATTAGAAGTGTCTTGCATAATTTGTAAATATTTGGGGGTTTTATAGATATCTGTTTTGATTTCCACATTCACTGTAAAGACATAGCACTGTAAATAATTTCAATTATTGAAATAATAATTTTCAAAACATATTGCCTAGAATATGGTACTAAAGACTGTTCCACATGCACTTGAAAAGAGGCTATGTTTTTCTTCTGTTCTTCACTGCTTCCTTTGTTCAAGAGACAAATACCCTCCGTGTCTCCCTGCTGTTGGTCGTGCCTGAATATCTTAAACATTGTGTTTTAAGCATAGGCAAACCTCTGAGATATTGCAGGATTGTTTCAGACTATAGCAATAAGAGAATCTAAGGAAAACAAGTCACAATTGTTTTGCTGGATATGACATTGCCTTCATGTTGCAGAAAATGAGATATGTGTGAAACACAATAAAGCAAAGCACAATTAAACAAGATATGCTTGTACGTTTTGTCCAGAGTTTATCAATCTAATTGGTGAGAGGGTTTGTCTTTTACAATTTATTCTACTATTTCCTTTGTTCAGGATTGCCATACTTCTCATATTATAAGACAAAGCTTTCTTAAAGTCAGTGTATGCCTTTTGATGGTTTCAAAACAAAAAAATTTAATTCATGCATATACATAGTAATTAACAATGTCTCAACAAGAATGCCATGAACATGTGGGGTAAAGAGTGAAAAATTCTGGGTCCTGAATTATTTTTGATTCTATTTAAAATAATAAATTAGATTAGAAACAAATTTAACAAAGAAAGAAACACAAATGGCTTTTTTTTCAAAACCTGTTGCTATAAGTACTTAACAGCTGGTAAAACTTTCCACACTATTGACAAATGGGAGGGAGATAAATGGAAATATTATTACCTTTACACTCAGGAGGCTCACTACTCCATTGGTTAGGCCCAGAACAGACAAGCCTGCTTTCTCCAACAAGTGAATATTCATCTGGTCCAGCTGAAGGATTACATCTATAAATTACTACTTCATTATATTCAAATGTATCCTTGTGGCTATTGGTGTATCTTCCATTTGATATTTGTCTAGGTGGTTGACACAAGATTTCTTAAAAATAAAAAAAGGACACAAAAAGGCAGAAGAAAAGCTGAAAGACTAAGACTGTGTTAGTAATGTCCTGTGAACTACATTCAATAAATTTATTAACATATGATTTCTACAATCTAGTTGTGAATCCAATACCCAGCTAAAAGAAGGTTTCTTTGAGAAATTATATTGTCCCAACTTAAATCATTAATAGAGAAATAACATGTGAGAATAAAACCTGTTTCCTTCGATACCCATGTAAGATACCTAAATAAAATATGTGTATTTATCTGTAACGCCATGCTAAGCTTTTTTTCTAAGCGTAATAGATGCTGACAATTTATTGATGAAATATACTTCTGATTAAGGAAAACTCAGTGCTAGCTGAGAAATGAGACATCTGTCCCTAAATCTATAGTTCCTAGGTAAGCCAAGATTCTACTGTCCTTTCTCACTGTCATCCTTCAAAGTGTACAGTGAAATTTTCCAGTGGCTTCAAACATTGTTTGATAAAGCAGAGGCCTGAGTCTGGAGGTCTCCCTTTGAGCCGGAGACTGGAGAGATTAGAAACCAAGGACAGCAGTGGCATTCTTCTCAATGTTTGTTTTGGACATTTTTGATTTTGCACAAAAGAATATGTTGCATAAGTTAACATGTATGGAGTTTACTGCTTTTGAAAATGAAATACTACATAATCATTCAGAAAACTTCTCCGTTTTAATTCCAGTATAAAGATTATCAGTAGCGCTAACCCACCTGCAGAAAAGCTCTGTGGGGTCCTTGTTCATTTTAAGGCACAAATGGGGCCCCAGGTGACAAAGTCTGAGCACTGCTGCCCCAAAGCCGAAAGAGAGGGTACACTTACTCTCACACTGTGGGGGACTGTCACTCCATTCCACTGTATTTCCAGAAAGTTCGCAATATAGAATTTTTGTTCCAAGTAGATAATAACTAAATGAGAAAAGAAATGATTATTGTTCTCTGTATCCGTTAACAAGAATACATAACAATGAAGAAATAGCAATGTGCTTGTTTCCTGCGCTACAGTAGCTTCAGGAAGAACGTTCTTAAGTGACGTTTGTAGCACGTGCTAACCAATTCTGCAATTCAATGAACTAAAGAGACTCTTCATTTGAACACATATTGGCCTGGAGCGAAATGTGTCCATAAAGCTGCCCTGCCTGACAGGCCGGGGATCGCTGCCTCCGCAGACCGATCGCACGGTCGCGCTGTGTCCTTGCGCGAGCCGTTCCGCTCAGTCAGGAGAACGGCTGAGAAGGGAGATCGGGCCCAAGAGCCCCTGCCCGGGGGGGAGTCCCAGTTTCCAGACGGACTTGTCTTTTGAGCTTAGGCAAACCCTCAGTGTTTCTCTTTCTTCAGTTCCTCATCTGGGGAAATGGTTATATGCTCTGGGGTTGTATTTAGCAGGTGAATTAGCGTCTGGAATACAGTGAGTGCTAGGAAGTTCTGGGTGTTATGAATATTCTTCAGATCGGACTATCTTCCAGGGATAGGTCAGGAAAGACCCCGACTTGATGAAATGTTTGATGACTGAAAATCACAGAACTCTCTCTTCCTTCTGGAGTCTTCTTATACTGATCACAAATACATCATTTTGTGGTACTTCTCATTTACTATTTTCCTTGGACACCTCTCTGTGTATATTGTGTGTATCAATAAAGCGAAAACTTTTTTGAGAATAATCTTAAGAGGGTATTCATTCAAAGTCAGCAATTTGTAACGTTTTCATCTTATGGCTGACACATAAACTAATTACTACAATTCTGTGTCCATCTGTCTGACAAAAACATGGGTATAATTTCCATTCATTCGCATTGGACGGTTATTGTGATGACTGTTGTCATTTTTTCACTTGAAAATCTGAGGAAAAATAGTTCAGTGCCTTTGACTAAATGGTCAGGTATTTCAGGTTTTAAAAATGCCTGCAACACAGGAGTGCGCCCCTGTGGCAGGCTGGTTGAAAACCGCTGGCCTATGTGTTAACCTTTCGCTGCTTCACAAGGTGGTTAGCAGGCTGTCTCTATATAACTAGTGATGGGACACTCTCACTTGATCAAGTTAAAAAAAAGAAAACTCAGGAAAACTGCCTGTACCTTCTTCCAGCTGAAATTTCCCCCAAGGCTCATTGATTTTATGTTATAATATGGGAGGAGAGATTTCTGGGATTATGGCAGGATAGGAAGCACCAAAAATAAGTCTTCCTGGCTAGACAATAATTTCGCTGTTAGAATCCGCCTGATGTAACTCTTTTGGGACTCTGGAGTCTTGATGTTGAAAGCTTGCAAGTTCCAGGAAGGACTTGGACAGGAAAATTGCTTTAAAATTGGTCACTTTCAGTTCTTAGCACAGGGTAAGGGCCCGTCCCACTCCCACAGCAGGCAGCTGTGCGTGTCTTCCTGAAGCTGCTCATGAGCAGCCTGAGGGATGCAGGGTGGGCAGAAAAAGACCATGTCCTTAGGGATCTGTGCTCTTACATTGGCTACTGTTTCTGATCACAGAGAAGCAAACAGAAAAGCAGGCAGCTCCTTCCAAAACATGCAAGCGCCATTGGTCCCTCTTTCATTTTTCTCTTTTTCCTCTTTCAGGAGGCAGACGTTAAAAAGAGTGACATTTGAAAACAACTGCAAATGTCAAGAAAAAGCCTCAGTTACATGTCAGGCTCATCCTTAGAACAGAGACACTTTCAACCATCAAAAACCAAAAACAATAAAGAAACAACAAACCTTATTAAATGGTGAGAATCTACACCCAGAGTTAGTCCCATTATTGGACTCAAATATCCAGTTCAAGCACAAAAACTAAAAGTTACATGGCATATAGAGAAATAGGAAAGTACAGTCCATTCAAAGGAAAAAATAAATCAACAAAAAATTATTTCCGAGAGAGATCTAAGGGGCTACTTGCTAGCAAAAGGCTTTAAAGTAGTCATTGAGATGCAAGTGCATCTTTTGCAGACCGTCTCGGTGACAAACCTGCATTTTCCAGTTCCACAGCCTTCCTTTCCTCCATGAGACAGCTGAGTGGCAGATGCAGAGATGCCGGTGTTTGTGAACACCGTGATGGGCAAGAACCTCCCTCCCAAGCTGGAGAGCCCAGTGATACAACTGGGAATGTCAAAGCCAAAGTCTAAAACAAGGAGTGCATCCTCCTGACCACCAGCATCTGCTGTTTGCGTGCAAACATCTGGAGGAGCACCTCCCTCTGTCAGACTGCAATTCCAGAAAGAGCCCGCCCTGCATTGGCAGCCTACCTGATGCGGAGGCATCAGTGAGCTTTCCCTCCACCGGCTCCCCAGGAATACAGCAGCCACAAGAGCTACCGGCGTCGTGCTTGCCTGCGCCTTTCTGCTGTGGATGAGGGCAAGAGGTGTGGCCATGCCAACAGCCTGTGACCAAGAGGAAGTTGAGAAGCAGGCTCTCCACAGCCCTCTCCAATGTAAGCAGGGGGGGTCCCCTGCCAGAGAGCCATGGTCCCGGGGCCTCAATAAAATTGGAAAAAAATTAGTAACTGTCTTACGGATGTTCAAAGACCTAAAGGAAGAACTGCATAAAGTGAAGAAAACAATGAGTAAACCAAATGGAAATATAAATTAGGAGGTAGAAACCCTAAAAATAACATTCCCTCTAAAATTCTGGAGTCCAAAGTTCAACATAAATGACCATTCTGTAGATGACTTAAATGCAGCTTGGAACAGGAAGAAGGAAGAGTCAGGGAACCTGAAGTTGGACAATGAAGACTATTTAGTCTGAGATCAAAAATAAAAACATTGAAGTGAATAGTGCCTAAGGGACTGACGGGACCTGTGGGTCACCGATAAGCAGACCAATATTTATCCACTGTGGCAACCCCGGAAGGAAAGGATAGAGAGAAAGGGGCTGAGAGAATTTTAGAGAAATAATGACTGAAAGCTGCCCAAACTTGATCAAATGCATGACTGTACATATTCAAAAACCTCATCCAACTCCCAGTAAAATGCAACCAAAGACCCATAGTAAGACCCATAACAATCAAACTTTCAAAAGCCAGCAACAAACTGAGAATTTTGAAAGCTGCAAGAGGGAAGTGAATCATCAGGTACAAGGGATCCTAAACATGATTATGGGCAGACTTCGCATCAGAAACCTGGGGAGCAGAAGACACTGCGCTAATAGGCTAAGAGTGATAGAAAAAAATGGTCGGCCAAAAATCTTCTACACAGCAAAAGTGTGCTTCAAAAGTGAAAGAAACGGTAAGACTTTCCCTGAAACCAAAGTTAAGACAATCTGTTATCACTATATCTCTCCTGCAAAATTGCTCAAGCGTGTCCTAAAAGGTGAAATTAGAGGACAGTAGAGAGTATCTCTGGCTGTGCAGACCAGCATCTCACGGAGGGCACATACATGAGCAACAGTGAAAGCTAGCACTGCTGGAACAATGCCTTGTAAATGCATTTTATTTTCTGTGTGATTTAAGAAACTAGTCTTACAATCAAAATAAATCATGTAGAAGCTGGTATTCTGATTATTATTGTAGGGTAGTAAGATTTTAACCACCCAAAGGAGTGAGATGGAGCTGACAGAATCCAGTGTTGTAATTTATCGAAGTGAAGTTGGTATAAATTCAAACTGTGGTGTTATAACTCGAGGATGGTAAATGTAATCCCCATGGGAACCACAGACAAAATCACAACTGAATATACACAGAAGGGGATGAGACGGGGATCCCAACATTTCATTACAAAAAGCAACTAACAAATAACAGGAATGCACAAATTGAAGGGGGAAGGAAAACTTTCAGAAAACAGCTCCCTCCTTATCAGTAATTACTTTCAATTTTAATGGATTATACTCTACCATCAAAAGGCAGATATGGATGGAAGGGATCAGAAGCACAAGACTCAACTCTATGCTGTCTGCAGGGACTACGCTGAGATTCCAAGGCATGAACCGGTTGAAAGTGAAAGGATGGAAAAAGACATTCCATGCAAACTGGAACCAGAAGACAGCACGGATGGCTGTTCCAATTCAGACAAAACAGACCGAATCAGAAAAGGCTTTAAGGGAGAAGCAGCACATCGCATTTTAGTAAGTTTTATACACTTCAAGAAGACATACTAAGTATAAGCATTTATGTACCTACTGACAAACCTTCAAAATATAGGAAGCAAAACCTGACAACTGAAGGGAGAAATACACACTTCTACATAATAGGCATTTCCCCAATAACAGTTAGAGGCCTCAACCCCAGGCCCAACAATGGATGACACAACTAGACTGAAAATAAGGAAGGAGCGGACTTCAACAACACAATCGACCACCTTTCGCAGACACAGAGCTCCATGGAGCAGAACTTACTTTCTCATCATGCTCACGTGGCACATCTTCCACGAGAGGTCATACGGTCAGCCGCAAATTAATATTAATGAATAAAATGGTTTTAAAGATATAGATATCATACAAAGTATCTTCTCTGTCCCCATGGGGTAAAGTTGTTGAACAACAACCTTCACAGACAGAAACTTTTCTGAAAGAACAGGTTCATTGACTGGCCACATGCTAGTCAAGGGAAAAACAAAAAACAAACAAACAAACAAACAAAAAACACGTTCTGGGGCATGTGGTCTAAACCACCAGCAGCAGGGATAGATGGAGAAGGTGAACATTTGTGCCATCCTGGGTTCCCCCAGTTCTTTTTGTAGTTTTAAGGAGAAAAATGTAGGTTATTTTGAAGGAATTAACATTGGCTATTCATAAGGGGCGCGCATAAGAAGAGTAAGTGGGGCTAGTTCCGGGATAGGTGCATAGCCTGTATAGGAAGAGATGTTTGTGGCCTCTAGATTGTTGGATGGCAATAATCTGAAAAGTTCATGTGTAAGCAGGATGTGGTGAAATCTGGTGGTCAGCTACACATTTTCATCTTTATTTTTTAAATTTTAAAATCACATTTTATTTTTTAGATTTTATGTTTTTTTTATAAAGTGGGGAAGGGAAGGAGAAAAAGATAAACATGAATGTGTGGTTTCCTCTCAGGCACCCCCTACCGGTGACGTGGCCCACTACCCAGGCATGTGCCCTGACTGGGAGATGAACTGGCAACCCTTTGGTTTGTAGGTCAGCACTGAATCCACTGAGCCACACCAGCTTGGGCTCCTTTTCAGATAAGAGCTGTAGCAGCTCTTATATTAACACTATTCTTGAAATTGCTCTGGTAGTTGATTCAAAGTTTCAACATACATTCCAGAAAGAGAACAATCTAGTGTCTTCCCTTGGCTTTGTTAACTGATTAACTTCCTGTCTGTCCTTCCCACCCTCAACCTCCTGCAATTTAATTTAGGACCATGATTAATGATTACTGCACCATGATTACTACATTTTTAATGTCTACAATAGGCTTATTATTACATATGGTACTATATAATTTTCCATTTCTTCCATTTAAATTTTTTTCTATTCATTACACATCAGTCTCCATAAAAAACCCAAGAGTACATTGGCTGTTAAGTGCAAGATGTCACACAGAAAACAAGATGAAATCAACATTATGGGAACTCTTAGGAGAGAACCAAACAACACTAGAACTGATACATATTTTTCCTATTTCTGTAAGGAGTAACTTACCCCTCATTGCAAACATAGTGAGCCTGTGAACCAAACTGGAAAGTTCCATTTATGTAGTTTACTTCACCATTTACAGGTTCTCCTAGCTGTGGACATGATTTCCCTTAAAGAAAATTTTCAAATTTGTTTTATACCAGTGTCAAAACAGATGTGAATCAAAATAGAAATTCTACATTGCTCTATTAAATTCCTGGAAAAAATTTTTTTTCTTATTTATTTTTATTAAATTTATTAGGGTGACATTGGTTAATAAGTTTAAATAAGTTTCCAGTGTATATTTCTATGACACATGATCTGTATATTGCATTGTGTGCCCATCAATTAAAGTTAAATCATTCAAATCACCGTATATTGGGTCCTCTTTGCCCTTTATTACTCACACCAACCCCCTTTCCTCTGGTAACCACCAAAATGGCGTCTGTGTCTAGAAGTTTCAGTTTTATATCCCACACTGGAGTGAAACCATTTGATCCTCAGCTTTTCCTGGCTGACTTATTTTGCTTAGCATATTATTCTCCAGTTCCATCCATGTTGTCACAGATGGCTGAACTTAAGAATCACATTTCCCAAGAGAATAGAGAACCAAAGAAAAAATTTCCTGGAGATTTTCAAAGCCTGAAAAAAATACATTGCTACCTAAACCCTACCTTCACACAAGAAGTCCATCATCTCAGTAGTGACATGACATCTAAAATATGTGAAAGTCTCTAGAGCAATGAAGGGAAAAGTTTTGTGTACTTACTTTTGCAAGCCTCCTGGAGAGGTGTCCATGTGCCATCAGGTTGACAAACAGAAGACATGGGGAGAAGAGGAACACTGCGCATATATCCTGGGCGACACTGATATTCTACATTGTCCCCATTATTGTAAGTGTTCTTGGGATTACCTTTGAGCATCATAGATTGAAATCTTGGTGGAGCATCACAGGCATCTGGGCATAACAGAAGGACAACATGGAAGTAAAGCATTTTCTCCTTTTCACCAGCCGTGGATTATGGCCTGGCAGCAGGCAGGCAGGACAGAATACATGGAAAGGTCCTGGGAAAGATTTTAAGTGATTGTTCTGATCTGTGCTTTTACCGGACGAGGTGCCTCGCCTGATTTAAGTAACATTCTATCAGCTTTTGGTTTTCGGGGTGTCAGTCAACAGTAAATTGAAGAGACAGCAACAACAATTTTGGATTTAAAATATATTTATAGGTATACAGCCTTCAGCATTTTTTTCTGATTTCATTTCACACTCACTCCTCCCCTAAGAAGACTTCCATAGTACATAGTCTTCAATCAGGTTACTCTTCCACAGTTTGAAATGCAAACTAATGATGATGACTTGTCACTTGAGGCATGATCTTTTATAGGAATGCAAGTTCCTAGAGGCCAGGGACCATATGCCTTCTTTTCCTTCTATATCGTTGAAGATTTCACGGACCAAAATAAGTATCAACTCCTTTAAAATGTAAGACCTCATATGTTCCATAGAGTGAACTGAGCACTTTATAAGAGAATAGATGACAATTAAATGTCAACATTTATAACTCTAACATTATTTAATTTATTTTTCCTTCACTAATCAATGGATCATTCTGGGCTTCAAAAGTCCTCTGAGTTAGCTGTTTGGGCTGTACGGATACATTGCTATGCCATCAGAATTTTTTATTTGTAGATTTTTTTTGGTAGTTTTTTTCTTCCTGCAATAGTGTCTTTTCTACTGTAGCAATTCCTCTTCCTCCAAATTACCTGTGTGCTTGAAAACCTAACAAATCTGATAGAACCACTGCAGAAAGTAATGTGCTGGAGACACATAAAGCACTAAAGGGCTAAAAGAATGCAGAGGCCTCCCCTATAAAGTTAAGGACCTAAGGAGAAAGGAGATTGATCTGTTTTGATCCCTGAGGAACTTTTCTTATTCCTTGGATTGGTTAAACTAAAAAAAAAAAAAAAAAAAAAAAAAATATATATATATATATATATATATATATATATATTTGCACTTCTGTCAAAAAACAAAAATTATGTGACTTTTAAAATTAAATTCACTGGAGTAACATTGGTATTGGTTAATAACATTGTATCAATTTCAGGTATACAGCGTTGTGATGGGATATCCGCACACTCCACTGTGAAGTTAAATCTCCTTCCCTCACCTCCCTTTAACCTCTTTATGCCCCTCCCCCGCCGTCACCCTTCCCTTCTAGTAATTGCCGTTTTGTTGTCTGTAACTGGTTTTTTTTGTTTGCTTTGTTTCTTTATTTGTTGGGGTTTTTTTAATATGCCACATAGGAGTGAAATCACAGTTTTCGTCTTTTTCTGGCTGACTTAGCATAATACTCTCAAGATCCATCCATGTTGTTTCAAATGACAATATTTAACCTTTTCTGTGGGGCTGAGTAGTATTCCACTGAATATATGCACCACATCTTCTTTATTCAATTACCCATTAAAGGGCACTTCGGTGGTTTCCATGACTTGGTTACTGTGAATAATGCTGCCATGAACATGGGGTACCCTATAACTTGATGAGTCTTCAAATTTTCTGGCAGACGCCCTGAAGAGGATTGATCGTTCACATGTTAGCTAATATTCTCAATTTGTTTTGATGAACCTTCATACTGTTTGTTATAGAGGCTGCACCAATTTATAGGCAATCCACTGGCAGTATGTGAGGATTCCCTGTTCTCCATAAGCTCTCCAATGCTTGTTATTTCTTGTCGTATTGATAACAGACATTCTAAGAGGTGTGAGGTGGTATCTCAATGTGCATCTCAATTTGATTTGCATGTCCCTCATAATTAGTGATGTCGAGTATCTTTTAATATATTGTTAGGTCATCTGAATGTCTTCCTTGAAAAATTGTCCAGTCCTCTGCCCACTTTCTAATCAGATTTTGTTGTTGTTGAGCCGTATGATTTCTTTATATATTTTGGAAATCAGCCCCCTCTCAGAGGTATCTTTTGCAAATATTTTTTTTTCCCATTCAGTTGGTTGCCTTTTTGTATTCTTAATGGTTTCTTTTGCTGTGAAGAAGCTTTTAGATTAGATGTGGCCCCATTTATTGAGTTCTCTTTTTACTTCCCATGCCTTTGGGTCAAGTTTACAGAAACCCCTCTGAGACAATAGTTGATAGGTTTAATAGCTATCTTTTCTTCTAGGTATTTTATCGTTGCAGGTCTTATATCCGAGTCTTTAATCCATTTTGAGTTAATTCTTGTATATGATGTCACATAGAAGTCTAGTTTCATTCTCTTGCATGTGGCTTTTCAGTTTTCCCAGTACCACTTTTTAATTATATTTTATCGATTATGCTATTACACTTGTCCCAAGTTCCCCCCTCTGCCCCTCCTCCAACCAGCCCCCCACGCCCTCCGGCACCCCCACACCGTTGTCCACGTCCACGCGTCCCGCATGTGTGCTCTTTCTTTCCATCCCCACGACCGTTCTGTAACTACCACGTTGCGCTTCTCAATCCTGTCTCTCCCTTTGCCCATTCCTCTAACCCCCTCCCATCTGGCACCCGTCAAAATGCTCTCTGTGTATGGATCTGTTTCTGTTCTGCTTGTTTATTTCGTGTTTTAGAATCAACTGTTGATAGATATGTGTTCACTGTCATTTTATTGTTCATATTTTTTATTTCCTTCTTAAATGAGACCCTTTAACATTACATAAAGTACTGGTTTGGTGATTTTGTACTCCTTTAGCTTTTTTTTATTTTTGCCTGTGAATCTCTTTATCTGTCCTTCGATTCTAAATGATAGGTTTGCTGGGTAGAGTAATCTTGGTTGTAGGTCCTTGGTTTTCATCGTTTTGATATTTCTTGCCAATCCCTACTAACCTGAAAATTTCTTTTGAGGAATCAGCTGGCAGTCTTATGGGAACTTCCTTGTAAATAACTGTTTTTCTCTTGCTGCTTTTAACATTGTCTCTTTGCCTTTAACCTTTTTCATTTTTATTATGTGTCTTGATGTAGGCCTCTTTGGGTTCATTTTTTTTCGGTCTCTGTGCTTCCTGGACTTTTATGTCTATTTCCCTCACCAAGTTAGGGACATTTTCTGTCATTTTTTCACATAGGTTTCCAATTTCTTGTTCTCTTCTTTTTCCAGCACCCCCATGATATGAATGTTGGTGTGCTTGAATTTGTCATAGAAGCTCCCTACACTAGCCTCATTTCTTTTTTTTGGGGGGTGAGGGGATTCTTTTTTCTTGTGCTGTTGAGGTTCTTACTAAGTTCCTGAGCATCTGTATGACAAGTGTTTTCAAGTCTGCATCTAGTAACTTGCTTGTCTTCATTTTGTTTAGGTCTTTTACTGGATTTTGTTCTGTTCTTTCATTTGGGCCATGTTTTTTTGTCTTCTCATTTTGGCAGCCTCCCTGTGTTTGTTTCTATGTATTAGGTAGAGCTGCTATGTCTACCAGGCTTGGTGGAGTGGCCTAATGTAGAAGGTGTCCTCTAGAGTGCAGTGGCACAGCCTCTGTCATTATCCAAGCTAGGTACTTGAGGTGCACCCAATGTGTGAGATGTGTACATCCTCTTGTTGTAGTTGAGCCTTGACTGCTGTTAGCACATCCAAGGTTCAGCAACTGCTTCTGTTCTGTTCAGGGTCACATAGCATAAGCTACAGATGGTTCTGCAAATGGCTGCTACTTGTACTGGGCTTGGAATTGCCAAGGCAAGGCCCAGGTGTGAACCAAGGCTAGCTGCTGCTATTGCTGGGGCTGGGGCAACTTAGTAAGGGGGATGGGGCTTGCTGAAGCCAGATGCTGCTTGTTTGAGAGAATTTAGGAAAATCTGGAGAAGGGGCCATGACAAGCCATTCGTATGGAAAAACCATTGGAAACAGTTTGGATAGTCCTGAAAGTTGCTTGGGGCAGGACCTCAGGGAATCACCAGGGTGAGGCAAACTGTGTGAGGCAGGTTGATGGAGTGTCAGATACAGCGTCTGCCTGCTGGCTCTGTGGCTGTCAGTGGGAAGAGCTCAGAAAAGGTACAGTGGCCTCTGCCAGCATTTCTGACTGGGAGAAAGCTGTCCTTCAGCTCTCACCCTGATGCCAGACAATTCGCTTCCTCTGTGTAGGTCCCTGGTGACTTTCATTCTGCTGCGCCCATGCTGAAGCTCAGAGGGAGTGAGTCTGAGTAATCTGTGTGTGTAAAGAGAAACTGCTAGGGAGTCCTGCAGCTTCTGCGTTTCACAGTCTCAACCCCCGTTGGTTTTTACAGTCAGAAGTTATGGAGACTTCTCTTCCTGGCACCGGAACCCTGGGTTGGGAGGCCTGGTGAGGGGCTGGGATGCTTCAGTTCTCAGATAGCCCTCCTGATTTTTATCTGGCACATTAAGGCACAGGACCAGCCTGTTCTTTGTCTCTGCCCCTCCTGCCAGTCTCAATGGTTGTTCTGTAGTTTAGTTGTAATTTTGATGTGGTTGAGGCAAGTCATGTTCACCTATGCTGCCATCTTGACCAGAAGTACCTGTACCATTTATTCAACAGGGTTTTCTTCCACCATTACCTGTTTTTGTCTCCTTTGTCAAAAATTAATTGTTCATATATGTGTGGGGTTATTTCTGTGCTCTCAATTCTGTTGCATTAGTCTGTCTGGCTGTTTTTTCCTGACAGTACCATAATGCTTTGATTATTGCAGCTCTGTAGCATAGTTTGGAGTCAGGGAGTGTGATACCTTCAGTTTTGTTCTTTTTTCTCAAGATTGTTTGGCTATTCAGGCTCTTTTGTAGTTCTATAAAATTCGATGACTTTTTTTCCTATTTCTCTGAAAAATGCCACTGGGATTTTGATGGGATTTCATTAAATTTGTAAACTGCTTTAGGTATGTAGCTATTTTAATAATGTTAAATCTTCCAGTCCATGAAAATGAAACATCTTTCTATTTCATTGTCTTCTTTGATTTCTTTCAATAATGCAATATAAAGCTCCTTCACATCTTTTGTTAAGTTTATTTCTAGGTATTTTATCCTGTTTCTTGCCATTGTAAAAGGATTGATTTATTTCTCTTTCTGATATTTCGTTGTTAATATATAAGAACACAATGGATTTTTGTACATTAATATTGTATTCTACAACTTACATATTTATTTATTTTTTCTAATGGTCTTTTGGCGGAGTATTTAGGGTGTTCTATATATAGAATTTTGTCATATGCAAATAGTGATGGAGTCACATCTTTTAACCCAATTTGGATGCCTTTCAGTGTGTTTTCTGGCCTATATTCGCTGTCTAGGACTTCAGGACTATGTTGAATAACAGTGGTGAGAGCGGACATCCTTGCCTTCTTCCTCATCTTAGAGGAAATGCTTTCAGTTTTTCACCATTCAGTGTGACATTAGCTGAATGTTTTCATATATGGCCTTTATTATGCTGAGATACTATGTTTCTTTACTGATTTTATTGCGTTTTAGTCATAAATAGATGTGATCTTGTCAAATGCTTTTTTTGCATCTTGAAATGATCTCTTATTTTGTTAATGTGGTGCATCACATTGATTGGTTTGTGAATGTTGAGCCATCCTTCCATCCTTGGAATGAACCCCATTTGATCATGATATAAGATCCTTCGAATGCTTGGCAGAATTAACCAGGTAAACCATTAAGACTTCGACTTTTTCAAAATTGTTATTCTATTACAGCTGTCCCAGTTCTCCCCCCTTTGCCCTGCTCACCTGGACTTTTGTTTAAAGAAAGTTTTTGATTACTGTTTCAATTCTTTACTAGTGATCACTCTACTTAGGTTTTCTAATTTTTTTAAAAATGTAAGTATAGTTGGTATATAATACTACATTGATTATATTAGTTTCAGGTATATGACACAATGATTCAATAATTTTATATCTTACAATGAGGTCATCCTACTATTTAGAGAGAATTTGAGCTGGAGTGTGTGGGTCTCCTTGAGACAGTTTGCTCAGAGAAGCTCCCTGTGGGGGTAAGATCACAGCTGAGTTTGAAAGACAAGGAGCCAATTATGTAAGAGGAAGGAGGAGAATGTTTGCAGACTGAGGGACAGCAAGGGCAAAAGCCCCAAAACAGCAGAGTTTGGCCTGTCTCATGGGCAAAAAAGTCTCCCCTTGACCTCTCATTTGATAAATGTTGTCAGAGCACCTGCCTTGGGTTATAATATATTAGTATTATTGTTTGGTTACTGTCTGCCAGTCCCAATAAATTTCAGCAAATGTTTATTGATTGCCTACCGTGTGCCTGGCACTGGGAATCTAACAGCAAAAAAACAGTCGTTGCTTGTGTTTGTGTATGTGTGCAAGTGTAATCAGACAAATAGTGAAACAAGGATCATAAATAAGGAATGATTTGCTATTTTTCACCAGTGTAGCCCCAGAACTAGCAGAGGACCTGGTGCATAGAACGCACATATTCATTGAATGAATTCCGCTAATGATACATTGCAATATGGAAACTGATATGTGTAACAGGATCCTAAAGATAACTTGGGTCTAGAGACACATATGCATATAAAGACAGTTGTAAATACACCAAAGTATTCAATACAGTTTATACAATAAGCATATATATGTATATATACTTGTATCTGTTCATTCCAATGCACATTCCGTTTAATGAAACATGAACCAAACTTAGTGGATGGCCTTCAGCTTTAGATTATGAGCTGTAGGGGAAAACCTTATTGATGATATTTATAGCTCAATTCTTAGGACTCTCATTTTTCCCTAGGTTGGGCTACCAGTATTTTGTAGGCTGCTTTCAATCTCTCCTCAAATGGGACCCAACCTAATGAAAAAAGAAAAGGAAAATCATTGCCCCAAAGACGTTAGGGAATAGAATAAGATTCTCTATATTGGATGGGCATAGGAATGAGATTCTTTGTGTGTGTGCATACGGGCGCGGCAGAGGTGGGGTGGGGGGAGGAGGGTCGGGAACAATTTGCACACTAATTACCAATATGATTTGGGGGCAACAAGCAGCCTGTTACTTTTATGTACAAAAAGCACTGTGCGCCCTTCTCAATCCCCCTAAATCCCAAGACTCCTCACTCAGCGACTCCCTGCGAAACATGCGTTCCCCAGCCCCCATACAAAGCAAGCAGTGAGCGTCCTTGCCCCTCACCCTGCACAGCTGGCCTGGTCACTTCTGAAAGCATAAATAATAGCCACTAACACCTGACCTGGGATTTCCCAGCCCAACCCAGTGGGGCATAACACGCTACTCACCAAGGCATCACCCTGCCCAGGGAACATAGCACAGAGCCTCCCCATGGGCACAACACGGGCCCTAGCAACATTCCCACACACCTGAGCACTCAAGAGCAAGCCCTTACTTTCAGCCCTGGGTCAGTCCCGCCCATTGATTGCCCCGGTCCCCAAACGCCTGCAAGCTTCTACAAAGGTTGGCCCCCGGCAAACTCTGACTGCGCTCAGGCGCCCCGAGGCTCAGTGCTTACCATCAAGCAATCTTCACCGCGCGTACTACGGGGTCCTCATCGTCCCGAATCCGCCATAGCACAACCCTGAGCACTGTGGCTAAGCATTCTACCTCAACTCCGCACCATGAGCGTTGACTATGCCCCTGGCTTCCTACCCGACCTACTAAGCAAAGCTCCCTCTGCCCTGGGCTCCGGAGAGCCTGCTCCCCAACCCGCTCCTGTTCGCTCCCCGCCTCACACCCTTTCCAGTCTCCTACCGGAGCATATGGGTAGCAGGAGCCCTAGGGCCACCAAAAGGATCCCAGGGAAGCACCAAGAAGGAAAGAGACTCTTGGGGTGGCGGGAAGGTGCCCTGTGCGGTTCGTAACACGCCATCATTTTTCGGGAAATCAGCGAGAAACCTGTGGGACAGTGACTATTGACCTTTTTGAGTACGGGCTCCAGACGCAACAATCCCCAAACTCAGAAAGTGTCAAGTGAGGTACCGCTGGTGGGCGTGGTCTGGGGCTTTTAGTACAAGATCAGGCGGAGCCAATCGGAGGACTGCAAGGTCGGGCCTCGGCGCAGGGGCGGGGCGTTAGGTCCGGATGGAACCCCGTCCGCTGGCCGCTCCGACTCCTCCCGCGGCGCTCGCGGGTGTCAGACAGTTATGTATGGGGATGAACCTTCGAGATTTGCAGGAAATGGTCGTTCACCGCCGTGTCCCCACTGAGGCAGGCGGGAAAGGAAGCAAGAGCTGGCGGAATCATCATTGCGCCTTTTCCGGAACGCTGAATGGAAGGATAAAGTTCTTCGACCTGAAAATAGAAACCCAGAGGCCAGACAGCAGGTCCCCTACGGACCAGCACACCTAAGGTTCCCCCTTTGATCTGGGGCTTCAAAACTGTCAGTTATGCCAGGGTCCTTGCTCTAATTCGGCGTTAGTCAAGCATAATTAGGGACAATACTTGAGGTTTTCGTGGTTAAAGACCTGCTAGATTTCAAAATCACAAAGATGGTTTGGCCACTGCACTCCCAGCCCCAATGTAAATGGCTTTGCCCCTGCTTCGTTGAATGGACCCCCGGTAAGTTAAATTATTAAACACTGTGCCATTAAGCACATTGGGTCTCAACTTATGGGGCCCTTGCCGTTTTGGAAGTAAGTATAATCGAAGACAAAATACACATGCTTGGAAAAGGTAAGGACAGGGGTGCATTAAGCGTCAAATTCCTTAATGAGAGTAATTGGTAGGATGAGTACGAACTGAAGAGAGGAGGAACTTTTGTAGTGAAACAGTCTCAATTCTGGAATATTAAGAATGAGCAAGGTTAATTTGTAGATGTAACTCCGTAAGAGCAGTAAAAGAAAAAAACAAGTAACATAAGGGACATTAAAGAGCACATAAAAGGAGCTGACATTTTTTCCCTTAGCTGGCAAAGAATCAAAACTTCGAGTTGTGAGTAAACCTATCAGGAGTAGCAGCACTCTCACATTTTTAGTTTATGCTATAACTTTTTTGTTTGTTAAACGTTTTAAAATGGACATGACTTTTAAACCACCACGTTAATTTAGAGTTTATCCCAAAGAAATCATCGGAAATCATCTGTGAGCAAAGATGCAGAATTTTGGAAAAATACAAACCCTAAGTGTCTAGTAATAGTATTAAGGGGTTTGTGGGATGGAATTCTATGCAGCATGCAGTGTAAAAATATCATGGTGAGTAACTATGATAGTTCTGTAAGTGGACAAAGCAATCTCCTAATCAGCATGTGACTTTTGGCATTTCTTTTATAAAACAGAATGTACATTAATACACATAAAAAGAGATCAGTTGGAAATACACCCAAATTAACCGATGCTTGATGGGATTATGTATACTTAATTTTCTTTTTGCTTTTGTGGTTTTCTATGTTGACATGTTACATCTGGAATCAGGTAAAGGAAAAAAGTTTAATAATCCAACTTCTATGTTAGCATCTGCTTTGTTCATAGAATGGTGTAGAGAGAACCTATATCACAAAGGGTTAAGGAATGACAGGTTGGTAAGGGAATGGAAGTTCTCAGTATAAACCTCAAATGCCAAAAGGAATCCTTATGGTTAGTTGGGCTCATTCATAACCAGAGTCTAAGAACCATTGTTTACAGAGGCCCCTCATGCGCACCTCATTGCAGGGAAAGTGCACCGGCTGGGCTGCTAAGCCACCTGCAGTGTCCCTGCCATCTGTGCTGGCCTTTCTTCTTCTTTTTTTAAATATACATTTTATTGATTATGCTAGTGCAGTTGTCTCATTTTTTTCTCCCCTTTATTCCCCTCCACCCTGCATCCCCCGTTCCTTCAACCCCCACCCCTGTTATTGCATGTCCATGGGTCATACATGTAAGTTCTTTGGCTTCTCCATTTCCTGTACTATTTTTAACTTTTCCATGTATATTTTGTACCTACGTTTTATGCTTCCATTTCCCTGTAGCTTTCCCCCCATTATCACTCCATCCCTCTGATCTCCATTTCTGTGATTCTTTCCTGTTCTAGTTGTTTGCTTAGTTTGTTTTTGTTTTTAGCTTCAGTTGTTGATAGTTGTTTGTTGTCATTTTACTTTTGATCAACATAGCTTTTGATCTTCATCTTTTTCTTAGATAAGTCCCTTTACCATTTCATATAATAAGGGCTTTGTGATGGTGAACTCCTTTAACTTTACCTTATCTGGGAACACTTTATCTGCCCTTCCATTCTAAATGATAGCTTTGCTGGATAGAGTAATCTTGAATGTAGGTCCTTGTCTTCCATTACTTTGAATACTTCTTTCCAGCCCCTCCTTGCCTGTAAGTTTTCTTTTGAGAAATCAGCTGGCAGTCTTATGGGGACTACTTTGTAGGTAAGTGTCTCCTTTTCTCTTGCTGCTTTTAAGATTCTCTCCTTATCTTTAGTCATGGGTAATGTAATTATGGTGTGCCCTGGTGTGTGCTTGAAATTTACCTTCTATTCCCAATAAAAAGGCCCAGTAAAGGGAAAAAGAGTAATTATAAGAGTAATTATAAGAGTAAGAAGAAGGGAAAGGTGGGGGTTTTGTTGTGGAGACACATAAATTTCCCACTTTAAATGTTACTAAATTTTGTAAAAATAACCAAACTGGTTGCAGTCTAGGAAATAAGACATCATCCTGGATCATGAAGATATCTTGTAAAGTTCTCAACAGATTGTTTTGAAAATATCAATATAACAAGTTGATGACATAAAAAACATTTGTGTTGAAAAGGAAGCCATGAACCTTCTTCGTCACTAATATGAACTGGAGTGATGCTGTAGGTCATAAATGAGCTTCCTTGCAGGCTTCCTATATGACAGGCACTGTGCTGAGTGCTCTAATGGCATCTCATTTCACTCGATATCACCCACTGAGAAAGGCATTAAGTTATTTTACATACAGTTAAACACATTTACGGTTTATGTAACTAGCCTGAGCTGGTTCCAATGTGTGCAAACTGTTGCAAAGAGTTTTAGAATCACTAAGTATAACAATTAGAATGGCTGTAAATATGTTCTTCCTCCTTTTGTTACTAAAAATGATGAATGAGTGTAAATCACCAGCGATTGAAAGGATTTTTTTAAAAATCACCAGGATTGAAAGAATTTTCAAAAATACAAGCAGAAAGGACTAAACCTGAGACCATGGAAACTGTAGGTTTTGCACTGAGAGGTGTCGATGCTGTGAAAAAGTAACAGAGACGGGATCAACCATGCGGTAAAAATTCTCATGCTTCAATTCACTATGAAAAAGGACTGCTATACATTTTACACATAAGAAATGCCCAACAGCAGAAATTCAGACACCTCTGTGATGTATATAATGTGCTAAGAACCTATGAAAACACAAATTTTATGTCATAACATCTGTCACGGAAATGAAAATGAGAGCGAGGTAATTAAACTGATTCTTTTTAATTATTCAGTATCATGGATATTTAATGTCTGAGAAATAAAATCTAGAAAAAAAAGACACACTTTGCACCTTTGATACATTTTGGCATCTTAGGCTCCCAAGTACTTTTCGCTCCACACACAATAGTGGCACTGCCTTCAAGGTAAAAGCCCTCCAGGCATTCCAATACAACCGTCGCTTTGTAGTAAAACCTTTTCCCAAATCCTGACACCAGTCTTCCATTTTTAAGTACTGGATATTGACATTTGACCACTGAAAAGACAAGAAATTCCAGAATTAATGGAATGCTGTTTTAATGTAGGATCAAAAAACTAGTGCAAAGTAGGAATGTACCCGGGAACAAAGAGACAGGAAATGGAAGGCAGGATGTTATTTTTTTAAAAGACGTTATTTGTGCATTTTATAACCTTTCCCACCTAGAACAGACTGTCGTGACAGGTTACTGGTTTCCTGTATGTTTTCCTATTACTGACAGGTTTTGAGAGAGGCCTGACTACCACATACAACTTTCGGGTGAATTCAAAAACAGCTTGGGATGCTCTGTGGCTCTAGGAATTTTCAAAAATAAATTCTATGCTGACACCGATTTAGTAGCCTGATCTTTCAGAAAGGCAGGAAGGAAAGACCCTTGTATAAAGGTAATACTGGAGCTCTATTTCTATTGTTCTCACTTCAGGTGTACCGATCTTTTCTATATTGTGCTCAACTGCTGTTAGTCACAGTAATGACTCTAAGTTAGGTTTACTGGATAGAAATCTCACACAGTAAAACCATTTTCAGTGCACAGCCTGTATGAGGTTCAATAAATGCAAACACTAATCATGTGATTTCCAACACAAAAGACATAGAAGAGTTGCATTATTCTCTACCATTTCCTCATGCCACTTTGTAATCAACCCTCCCCACAAGCACCTCCAGCCACTTTCCCCAACCAGACAACCATTGATCTGTTTTGTATTACTCTAGCGTTTCTTTGGCAGAGTGTCATAATGGGCTCACAGCCTGTGAGTGTGGCTTACTTCACTTAGCACAACGCATTTGATATTGCTTTCTGTCCTGGTGTCGATTAGAAGCTTATTGCTTTTTATTGAGGAGTGTTATTCCAGTATGTGGGTGTGCCATGGTTGTTCATTCATTCACCAGCTGAAAAGCAAGTGGCTGTTTCCAATGTGGCGTGAGTATGACTAATGCTGCTATGAGTATTCTTACGTAGGTTTGTACGTGAACATGTTTTAATTTACCTGGGTTGCTGCACTGTATGGAAGGAAAGTGTATCTCTAACTTCGTAAGAAATTGCCAAACAGTGCTCTAAAGTGGACATACACTTTAAGTGCATTCTTAGCAGCTATACATGAGAGCTCCAATTGTTCCATATCCTTGCCAGAGCATGGTATTTTTAGATTCTTTCTTGTTTCTATTTCCAGCCATTCTAGCGGGTGTTCAGTGGTATCTCATTGTGGTCTCCAATTATATTTCTGTATTTATTAATTATAGTGAGCAACTTTGCATATAGTTTCTGCTATCCATATATTTATGTTGATGAAGTAGGGCTATTCACACATATTTTTTTCCCATTTTTTAAAATATTGGGTTGTTTTCTAATTGTGTTTTGAGAGTTCTTTATGTATCTTTGACACAAGTTCATCGTCAGATATGTGCTTTGGAAGTATTTTCTCCCAGGCTTTGGCTCATTTTTATAAACTCTGATAACAATGTCTTTTGAGAGCAGAAGCTTTGAGTTTTTTAAAGGATCACACTCTTGTACTTAAGAAATCTTTGGCCAAGCCCTGACTATGTTCCCTCTTTTTAAGTAAAAGTGTTATCATTGCTAGTTTAAGTTAAGTCTGAACTCTGTTTTTAGTGCATGAGTGAAAATGGCGCACACATGGGTTGTGGTTTTCTTTTATGGCATATTGGTGTTCAATTGTGCCTGAACTTCTGCCATTTTTTCCACTGAATTGCTTGTACGTATGTGTAATAAAATCAATTGGACCCATATGAAAGGGTCTGTTCTAGGTTCTCTATTCTGTTCTATTGTTTCTATTATATGCTTTTTGGTATAGTGTACAATAAGTCTTGACACCAGATCGAATGAGCCTTTTATTCTTTTTCAAAATTATTTTGAATATTTTAGTTCTTTTATGTTTCCATATAAATGTTAGAATCAGTTTGTCAATTTCTATAAAACTTCTGCTGGAATTTTTAGTGAGACGATAATTTATAGGTCAGTTACAGAGTATTAACATCTTTGTTGTACTGAGTCTTGCAACACATGAACAATGAATCTCTCACTGTTAATGTCTTCTTCAAGTGTTTAGTTGTTTTAACCATTCGAATACTGTACAAGTGTTGTTAGATTCATTTGCAAGTATTTCATGTAGTGCAGAGTTGTAAATAATGCTTTTTTAATTTCTCATTGATTATTGCTAGTGCATAGGCTCACCATTGATTTCTGGATACTGAGCTTGTGTCTTGCAATCTGGGCAAGACTTCATTCACTCATGTTTTCCACACAGACAATCATGTCATAATTGAATAAGTCTATTTTATCTCTGCCTTTCCCTTGTGATGTTCATTTCTCTATCTTGCCTCACTGTGCTGAAGAGAACCTCCAGTATATAATGATGAATGGACTGGTAGGAGTAGACATCCTTGTCCCATTCCTACCTCAGTGGGAAATATGTTATCAAGTGTAATGTCTGTGTGATTCTTGTAGGTGCCTTTTATTAGGTTGAGATAGTTGTGTTCCCTCTATTCCTAGTTTGCTAAGAAGGTTTACCATGAAAGATGATGAATTCTGTCAAATTCTATTATGATTATAAGTTTTTTCTCCTTTAGAGTCTCTGTATATGGTAAATTATCCTGACCAATTTTTGAATTTGCATTCATGGAAAAATCTTACTTGTTTACAATATATTCTTATTGTTATTATATTTGACAGGATTTTATCTGTTAATATTTTGTTTAATAGTTTTGGTTCTATGTTCACAGTGGATATTGTTTTTAATTTTCCTGCAAATTTTATTATTTTCAATGATATTAACTTTTCATTGTTGATATTGGTAATTTGTAGTTTCCTCTTTTCTCTCAGACTGGCTATGGGTTATCTTTTTATAGATCTTCTCCAAGGAACAAGTGTGGGTTTCAATGATTCTCTCTACATTTCCCTTTTTTCAATTATATTGCTTTCTAATTTTATCATTTTCTTCTGTTTCCTAATTCTGAGTTCAATTTGCTCTTCTTCTTAGTTTATTAACGTGAAAGCTTAGAATGTTAACCTGAAACTTTTCCCTTGTTCTAACATAAGTGTTTCATGCTATGAATATTCCTCTGGGCAATGGTTTTGCTGCATTCCCAAAATTCTGATATGTTGATATATTGTGTTTTCACTTCTGTTCAATTCAAAGCACTTTCTAATTTCTCTTGTGCCTCCTCCTCTTATTGTGGTTCCATTAGAAGTGTCTTGCATAATTTGTAAATATTTGGGGGTTTTATAGATATCTGTTTTGATTTCCACATTCAGTGTAAAGACACTGCACTGTAAATAATTTCAATTATTGAAATAATAATTTTCAAAACATATTACCTAGAACATGGTACTAAAGATTGTTCCACATGCACTTGAAAAGAGGCAATATTTTCCCTCTGCTCTTCACTGCTTCCTTTGTTCAGGAGACAAATACCCTCCGTGTCTCCCTGCTGTTGGTCGTGCCTGAATATCTTAAACATTGTATTTTAAGCATAGGCAAACCTCTGAGATATTGCAGGATTGTTTCAGACTATAGCAATAAGAGAATCTAAGGAAAGCAAGCCACAGTTGTTTTGCTGGATATGGCATTGCCTTCAATTTGCAGAATGAGATATGTGTGAAACACAATAAAGCAAAGCACAATTAAACAAGATATGCTTGTACGTTTTGTCCAGAGTTTATCAATCTCATTGCTGAGAGGGTTTGTCTTTTAAAATTTATTCTACCAGTTCCTTTATTCAGGACTTTGATACTTGTCATAAGGTAAAACTTTCTTAAACCCGATGTATGCTTTTTGTGATTTCAAAACAAAAAAATTTAATTCATGCATGTACCTAGTAATTAACAATGTCTCAACAAGAATGCCATGAACATGTGGGGTAAAGAGTGAAAAATTCTGGGTCCTGAATTATTTTTGATTCTATTTAAAATAATAAATTAGATTAGAAACAAATTTAACAAAGAAAGAAACACAAATGGCTTTTTTTTCAAAACCTGTTGCTATAAATACTTAACAGCTGGTAAAACTTTCCACACTATTGACAAATGGGAGCGAGATAAATGGAAATATTATTACCTTTACACTCAGGAGGCTCACTACTCCACTGGTTATGCCCAGAACAGACAAGCCTGCTTTCTCCAACAAGTGAATAATCATCTGGTCCAGCTGAAGGATTACATCTATAAATTACTACTTCATTATATTCAAATGTATCCTTGTGGCTATTGGTGTATCTTCCATTTGATATTTGTCTAGGTGGTTGACACAAGATTTCTTAAAAATAAAAAAAGGACACAAAAAGGCAGAAGAAAAGCTGAAAGACTAAGACTGTGTTAGTAATGTCCTGTGAACTACATTCAATAAATTTATTAACATATGATTTCTACAATCTAGTTGTGAATCCAATACCCAGCTAAAAGAAGGTTTCTTTGAGAAATAATATTGTCCCAACTTAAACCATTAATAGAGAAATAACATGTGAGAATAAAACCTGTTTCCTTCGATACCCTTGTAAGATACCTAAATAAAATATGTGTATTTATCTGTAACGCCATGCTAAGCTTTTTTTCTAAGCGTAATAGATGCTGACAATTTATTGATGAAATATACTTCTGATTAAGGAAAACTCAGTGCTAGCTGAGAAATGAGACATCTGTCCCTAAATCTATAGTTCCTAGGTAAGCCAAGATTCTACTGTCCTTTCTCACTGTCATCCTTCAAAGTGTACAGTGAAATTTTCCAGTGGCTTCAAACATTGTTTGATAAAGCAGAGGCCTGAGTCCTGAGGTCTCCCTTTGAGCCGGAGACTGGAGAGATTAGAAACCAAGGACAGCAGTGGCATTCTTCTCAATGTTTGTTTTGGACATTTTTGATTTTGCACAAAAGAATATGTTGCATAAGTTAACATGTATGGAGTTTACTGCTTTTGAAAATGAAATACTACATAATCATTCAGAAAACTTCTCCGTTTTAATTCCAGTATAAAGATTATCAGTAGCGCTAACCCACCTGCAGAAAAGCTCTGTGGGGCCTTTGTTCATTTTAAGGCACAAATGGGGCCCCAGGTGACAAAGTCTGAGCACTGCTGCCCCAAAGCCGAAAGAGAGGGTACACTTACTCTCACACTGTGGGGGACTGTCACTCCATTCCACTCTTTTTCCAGAAAGTTCGCAATATAGAATTTTTGTTCCAAGTAGATAATAACTAAATGAGAAAAGAAATGATTATTGTTCTCTGTATCCGTTAACAAGAATACATAACAATGAAGAAATAGCAATGTGCTTGTTTCCTGCGCTACAGTAGCTTCAGGAAGAACGTTCTTAAGTGACGTTTGTAGCACGTGCTAACCAATTCTGCAATTCAATGAACTAAAGAGACTCTTCATTTGAACACATATTGGCCTGGAGCGAAATGTGTCCATAAAGCTGCCCTGCCTGACAGGCCGGGGATCGCTGCCTCCGCAGACCGATCGCACGGTCGCGCTGTGTCCTTGCGCGTGCCGTTCCGCTCAGTCAGGAGAACGGCTGAGAAGGGAGATCGGGCCCAAGAGCCCCTGCCCGGGGGGGAGTCCCAGTTTCCAGACGGACTTGTCTTTTGAGCTTAGGCAAACCCTCAGTGTTTCTCTTTCTTCAGTTCCTCATCTGGGGAAATGGTTATATGCTCTGGGGTTGTATTTAGCAGGTGAATTAGCGTCTGGAATACAGTGAGTGCTAGGAAGTTCTGGGTATTATGAATATTCTTCAGATCGGACTATCTTCCTAGGGATAGGTCAGGAAGACCCCGACTTGATGAAATGTTTGATGACTGAAAATCACAGAACTCTCTCTTCCTTCTAGAGTCTTCTTATACTGAAATCAAATAAGTCATTTCTGTGGTACTTCTCATTTACTATTTCTCTTGGACACCTTTCTGTGTATATTGTGTGTATCAATAAAAAGACTATGTCCTTAAGGATTTGTGCTCTTACATTGGCTACTGTTTCTGATCACAGAGAAGCAAACAGAAAAGCGGGCAGCTCCCCCCAAAGCGTGCAACCCCATCGGTCACTATTTCATTTTTAACTTTTTCCCCTTTCAGGAGGCAGACGTTAAAAAGAGTGACATTTGAAAACAACTGCAAATGTCAAGAAAAAGCCTCAGTTTACATGTCAGGCTCATTCTTAGAACAGAGACACTTCCAACCATCAAAAACCAAAAACAATAAAGAAACAACAAACCCTATGAAATGGTGAGAATCTACACCCAGAATTAGCCCCATTATTGGACTCAAATATCCAGTTCAACAACAACAACTAAAAGTTACACGGCATACAGAGAAATAGGAAAGTACGGTCCATTCAAAGGAAAAAATAAATCAACAAAAATTTATTTCCGAGAGAGATCTAAGGGGCTACTTGCTAGCAAAAGGCTTTAAAGTAGTCATTGAGATGCAAGTGCATCTTTTGCAGACCGTCTCGGTGACAAACCTGCATTTTCCAGTTCCACAGCCTTCCTTTTCTCCATGAGAGAGCTGAGTTGAGATGCAGAGATGCCGGTGTTTGTGAAAACCCTAATGGGCAAGACCCTCCCTCCCAAGGTGGAGCCCAGTGATACTACTGAGAATGTCAAAGCCAAAGTCTAAAACAAGGAGTGCATCCTCCTGACCACCAGCATCTGCTGTTTGCGTGCAAACATCTGGAGGAGCGCCCCCCTCTGTCAGACTGCAATTCCAGAAAGAGCCCGCCCTGCATTGGCAGCCTCCCTGATGCAGAGGCATCAGTGAGCTTTCCCTCCACCGGCTCCCCAGGAATACAGCAGCCACAAGAGCTACCGGCGTCGTGCTTGCCGGCGCCTTTCTGCTGTGGATGAGGGCAAGAGGTGTAGCCATGCCAACAGCCTGTGACCAAGAGGAAGTTGAGAAGCGGGCTCTCCATAGCCCTCTCCAATGTAAGCAGGGGGGTCCCCTGCCAGAGAGCCATGGTCCCGGGGCCTCAATAAAATTGGAAAAAAATTAGTAACTGTCTTACGGATGTTCAAAGACCTAAAGGAAGAACTGCATAAAGTGAAGAAAACAATGAGTAAACCAAATGGAAATATAAATTAGGAGGTAGAAACCCTAAAAATAACATTCCCTCTAAAATTCTGGAGTCCAAAGTTCAACATAAATGACCATTCTGTAGATGACTTAAATGCAGCTTGGAACAGGAAGAAGGAAGAGTCAGGGAACCTGAAGTTGGACAATGAAGATTATTTAGTCTGAGAGACAAAAATAAAAACATTGAAGTGAATAGTGCCTAAGGGACTGACGGGACCTGTGGGTCACCGATAAGCAGACCAATATTTATCCACTGTGGCAACCCCGGAAGGAAAGGATAGAGAGAAAGGGGCTGAGAGAATTTTAGAGAAATAATGACTGAAGCTGCCCAAACTTGATCAAACGCATGACTGTACATATTCAAAAACCTCATCCAACTCCCAGTAAAATGCAACCAAAGACCCATAGTAAGACCCATAACAATCAAACTTTCAAAAGCCAGCAACAAACTGAGAATTTTGAAAGCTGCAAGAGGGAAGTGAATCATCAGGTACAAGGGATCCTAAACATGATTATGGGCAGACTTCGCATCAGAAACCTGGGGAGCAGAAGACACTGCGCTAATAGGCTAAGAGTGATAGAAAAAAATGGTCGGCCAAAAATCTTCTACACAGCAAAAGTGTGCTTCAAAAGTGAAAGAAACGGTAAGACTTTCCCTGAAACCAAAGTTAAGACAATCTGTTATCACTATATCTCTCTTGCAAAATTGCTCAAGCGTGTCCTAAAAGGTGAAATTAGAGGACAGTAGAGAGTATCTCTGGCTGTGCAGACCAGCATCTCACGGAGGGCACATACATGAGCAACAGTGAAAGCTAGCACTGCTGGAACAATGGTTTGTAAATGCATTTTATTTTCTGTGTGATTTAAGAAACTAGTCTTACAATCAAAATAAATCATGTAGAAGCTGGTATTCTGATTATTATTGTAGGGTAGTAAGATTTTAACCACCCAAAGGAGTGAGATGGAGCTGACAGAATCCAGTGTTGTAATTTATCGAAGTGAAGTTGGTATAAATTCAAACTGTGGTGTTATAACTCGAGGATGGTAAATGTAATCCCCATGGGAACCACAGACAAAATCACAACTGAATACACACAGAAGGGGATGAGACAGGGATCCCAACATTTCATTACAAAAAGCAACTAACAAATAACAGGAATGCACAAATTGAAGGGGGAAGGAAAACTTTCAGAAAACAGCTCCCTCCTTATCAGTAATTACTTTCAATTTTAATGGATTATACTCTACCATCAAAAGGCAGATATGGATGGAAGGGATCAGAAGCACAAGACTCAACTCTATGCTGTCTGCAGGGACTACGCTGAGATTCCAAGGCATGAACCGGTTGAAAGTGAAAGGATGGAAAAAGACATTCCATGCAAACTGGAACCAGAAGACAGCACGGATGGCTGTTCCAATTCAGACAAAACAGACCGAATCAGAAAAGGCTTTAAGGGAGAAGCAGCACATCGCATTTTAGTAAGTTTTATACACTTCAAGAAGACATACTAAGTATAAGCATTTATGCACCTACTGACAAACCTTCAAAATATAGGAAGCAAAACCTGACAACTGAAGGGAGAAATACACACTTCTACATAATAGGCATTTCCCCAATAACAGTTAGAGGCCTCAACCCCAGGCCCAACAATGGATGACACAACTAGACTGAAAATAAGGAAGGAGCGGACTTCAACAACACAATCGACTACCTTTCGCAGACACAGAGCTCCATGGAGCAGAACTTACTTTCTCATCATGCTCACGTGGCACATCTTCCAGGAGAGGTCATACGGTCAGCCGCAAATTAATATTAACGAATAAAAAGGTTTTAAAGATATAGATATCATACAAAGTATCTTCTCTGTCCCCATGGGGTAAAGTTGTTGAACAACAACCTTCACAGACAGAAGCTTTTCTGAAAGAACGGGTTCATTAACAAGCCACATGCTTGTCAGGGGAAAACGAAACAAAAATAAAAAAGAACAGGTTCTGGGGCATGTGGTCTAAACCACCAGCAGCAGAGATAAATGGAGAAGGTGAACATTTGTGCCAACCTGGGTTTCCTGGGGATCTTTTTATACCTTTAAGTAGAAAGATTTAAGTTATTTTCAAGGAATTTACATTGACTATAAATAAGGGAGGGCATAAGAAGAATAAGTGGGGCTAGTTCCGGGATAGGTGCATAGTCTGTATAGGAAGAGATGTTTGGGGCCTTTAGATTGCTGGATGGAAGTAATCTGAAAAATTCACATGTATGCAGGATGTGGTGAAACCTGGTGGTCAGCTACACCTTTCTAATTTATTTTAAATTTTAAAATCACAATTTATTTTTTAAAGATTTTATGGTTTTTTTTAGAGAGAGGGGAAGGGGGAGGAGAAAGAGAGATAAACATCAATGTGTGGTTGCCTCTCAGGCACTCCCTACTGGCGACCTGGCCCACAACCTAGGCATGTGCCCTGACTGGGAGATGAACTGGCAACCCTTTGGTTGCAGGCCAGCCCTCAATCCACTGAGCCACACCAGCAAGGACGGCTCCTTTTTGGATGAGAGCTGTAGCAGCTCTTATATTAACACTATTCTTGAAATTGCTCTGGTAGTTAATTCAAGTTTCAACATACATTCCAGAAAGGGAACAATCTAGTGTCTTCCCTTGGCTTTGTTAACTGATTAACTTCCTGTCTGTCCTTCCCACCCTCAGCCTCCTGGAATTTAATTTAGGACCATGATTAATGATTATTACACCATGTTTACTAATTTTTAGTGTCTACATAGGCTTATTATTACATATGGTATTATATAATTTTGCTTATTTTCAATTTAAATTTGTTTTTATTTGTTACACCCTAGTCTCCATAGACAGTCCAAGTGTCAATTTGCTGTTAAGTACAACTTGTCACACAGAAAACAAGATGATATCAACATTATGAGAATACTTAGGAGAGAATCAAACAATAGTAGAACTGGAACACATTTTTCTTATTTTTGTTAGGAGCAACTTACCCCTCATTGCAAAAATAGTGAGCCTGTGAACCAAACTGGAAAGTTCCATTTACGTAGATTACTTCACCATTTACAGGTTCTGCTAGCTGTGGACATGATTTTCCTTAAAGAAAATTTTCAAATTTGTTTTATACCAGTGTCAAAACAGATGTGAATCAAAATAGAAAGTCTACATTGTTCTATTAAATTCATGGAAATATTTTCTTTTTACTTGTTTTTATTAAACTTATTAGGGTGACATTCGTTAATAAGTGTCAAGTGTACATTTCTTTGACACTTGATCTGTATATTGCATTGTATGCCTATACCTATGTCAAATAATTTCTCTTAGCAGATATTGGGTCCTCTTTACCTTTTATTACCCACCCCCACCAACCCCCTTTCCTCTGGTAACCACCAAAATGGCATCTATGTCTAGAAGTTTCAGTTTTATATCCCACACAGGAGTGAAATCATATGATTCTTAGCTTTTTCTGGCTGACTTATTTTGCTTAGCATGTTATTCTCAAGGTCCATCCACGTTGTCACAGATGGCTGAACTTAAGAATCACATTTCCCAAGAGAATAGAGAACCAAAGAAAAAATTTCCTGGAGATTTTCAAAGCCTGAAAATATACATTGCTACCTAAACCCTACCTTCACACAAGACCATCATCTCAGTAGTGACGTGACGTCTAAAATATGTGAAAGTCTCTAGAGCAATGAAGGGAAAAGTTTTGTGTACTTACTTTTGCAAGCCTCCTGGAGAGGTTTCCATGTGCCGTCAGGTTGACAAACAGAAGACACGGGGAGAAGAGGAACACTGCGCATATATCCTGGGCGACACTGATATTCTACGTTGTCCCCATTACGGTAAGTGATCTTGGGATGACCTTTGAGCATCATAGATTCAAATCTCGGTGGAGCATCACAGGAATCTGGGCATAACAGAAGGACAGCATGGAAGTAAAGCATTTTCTCCTTTTCACCAGCTGTGGATTATGGCCTGGCAGCAGGCAGGCAGGACAGAATACATGGAAAGGTCCTGGGCAAGATTTCAAGTGATTGTTCCGTGCTTTTACCGGACGAGGTGCCTCGCCTGATTTAAGTAACATTCTATCAGCTTTTGGTTTTGGGGGAGTCAGGAGTAATTGAAGAGACGGCAGCAAAATTTTTGGTTTTAAAATATATTTATAGGTATGCAACTTTCAACATTTTTTCTGAATTCATTTCACACTCACTCCTCCCCTAAGAACACTTCTATAGAATATAGCCCTCATCAGATTACTCTTCCACAGTTTGAAATGCAAACCAATGATGATGACTTGTCCCTTGAGGCATGATCTTTTATAGGAATGCAAGTTCCTAGAGGTCAGGGACCATATGCCTTCTTTTCCTACTGTACTCTGTACCTAGTGGGTGCTCAAGAAATGCTATTGTAAGCACTGACTATTAAATAATCGTTGCGGGTTCACAAGTCAAAAAAAATATGGATTCTTTCAAAATGGAAGACTTCATATATTCCATATGAGTGAACATATAATAAGTGAACACTTTATAAGAGAACAGATGACAATTAAATGTCAACATTTATAACTCTGACATTATTTAAATATAATTTATTCTTCCTTCACTAATCAATGGATCATTCTGGGCCTCAAAAGTCCTCCGAGTTAGCTGTTTGGGCTGTACGGATACATTGCTATGCCATCAGAATTTTTTATTTGTAGATTTTTTTTGGTAGTTTTTTTTCTTCCTAGAATAGTGTCATTTCTACTTTAGCAATTGCTCTTCCTTCAAATTACCTGTGTGCTTGAAAACCTAACAAATCTGATAGAACCACCGCAGAAAGTAACGTGCCGGAGACACATAAAGCACTAAAGGGCTAAAAGAATGCAGAGGCCTCCCCTATAAAGTTAAGGACCTAAGGAGAAAGGAGATTGATCTGTTTTGATCCCTGAGGAACTTTTCTTATTCCTTGGATTGGTTAAACTAAAAAAAAAAAAAAATATATATATATATATATATATATTTGCACTTCTGTCAAAAAACAAAAATTATGTGACTTTTAAAATTAAATTCACTGGAGTAACATTGGTATTGGTTAATAACATTGTATCAATTTCAGGTATACAGCGTTGTGATGGGATATCCGCACACTCCACTGTGAAGTTAAATCTCCTTCCCTCACCTCCCTTTAACCTCTTTATGCCCCTCCCCCACCATCACCCTTCCCTTCTAGTAATTGCCGTTTTGTTGTCTGTAACTGGTTTTTTTTGTTTGCTTTGTTTCTTTATTTGTTGGGTTTTTTTTTAATATCCCACATAGGAGTGAAATCACAGTTTTCGTCTTTTTCTGGCTGACTTAGCATAATACTCTCAAGATCCATCCATGTTGTTTCAAATGACAATATTTAACCTTTTCTGTGGGGCTGAGTAGTATTCCACTGAATATATGCACCACATCTTCTTTATTCAATTACCCATTAAAGGGCACTTCGGTGGTTTCCATGACTTGGTTACTGTGAATAATGCTGCCATGAACATGGGGTACCCTATAACTTGATGAGTCTTCAAATTTTCTGGCAGACGCCCTGAAGAGGATTGATCGTTCACATGTTAGCTAATATTCTCAATTTGTTTTGATGAATTTCATACTGTTTTTTATAGCGGCTGCACCAATTTATAGGCAATCCGCCGGCAGTATGTGAGGATTCCCTGTTCTCCATAAGCTCTCCAATGCTTGTTATTTCTTGTCGTATTGATAACAGACATTCTAAGAGGTGTGAGGTGGTATCTCAATGTGCATCTCAATTTGATTTGCATCTCCCTCATAATTAGTGATGTCGAGTATCTTTTAATATATTGTTAGGTCATCTGAATGTCTTCCTTGAAAAATTGTCCAGTCCTCTGCCCACTTTCTAATCAGATTTTGTTGTTGTTGAGCCGTATGATTTCTTTATATATTTTGGAAATCAGCCCCCTCTCAGAGGTATCTTTTGCAAATATTTTTTTTCCCATTCAGTTGGTTGCCTTTTTGTATTCTTAATGGTTTCTTTTGCTGTGAAGAAGCTTTTAGATTAGATGTGGCCCCATTTATTGAGTTCTCTTTTTACTTCCCATGCCTTTGGGTCAAGTTTACAGAAACCCCTCTGAGACAATAGTTGATAGGTTTAATAGCTATCTTTTCTTCTAGGTATTTTATCGTTGCAGGTCTTATATCCGAGTCTTTAATCCATTTTGAGTTAATTCTTGTATATGATGTCACATAGAAGTCTAGTTTCATTCTCTTGCATGTGGCTTTTCAGTTTTCCCAGTACCACTTTTTAATTATATTTTATCGATTATGCTATTACACAAGTTCCCCCCTCTGCCCCTCCTCCAACCAGCCCCCCACGCCCTCAGGCACCCCCACACCGTTGTCCACGTCCACGCGTCCCACATGTGTGCTCTTTCTTTCCATCCCCACGACCGTTCTGTAACTACCACGTTGCGCTTCTCAATCCCGTCTCTCCCTTTGCCCATTCCTCTAACCCGCTCCCATCTGGCACCCATCAAAATGCTCTCTGTGTATGGATCTGTTTCTGTTCTGCTTGTTTATTTCGTGTTTTAGAATCAACTGTTGATAGATACGTGTTCACTGTCATTTTATTGTTCATATTTTTTATTTTCTTCTTAAATGAGACTCTTTAACATTACATAAAGACCTGGTTTGGTGATGGTGTACTCTTTTAGGTTTTTCTTGCCTGGGAATCTCTTTATCTGTCCTTCGATTCTAAATGATAGGTTTGCTGGGTAGAGTAATCGTGGATGTAGGTCCTTGCTTTTCATGACTTTGAGAACTTTTTCCCCGCCCCTTCTTGCCTGCAAGGTGTCTTTTGAGAAATCAGCTGATAGTGTATGGGTATTCCTTTGTAGGAACTGTTTCCTTTTCTCTTGCTGCTTTTCAGATTCTCTCCTTATCTTTTAGTCTTGGGTAATGTAATTATGGTGCGCCTTGGTGTGTGCTTGAAATTTACTTCCTATTTCCCTTAAAAAACCCCAGTAAAGGGAAATAGAGTAATTATATGAGAAAGGGAAAGGTGGGGGTCTTGTTCTAGAGTTGCAGAAATTAACCAGTGTCAATGTTACTACATATTGTAAAAAGAACAAAACTGGTTGCAGTCCAGGAAATAAACATCATCCTGGATCATGAAGATACCCTGTAAAGTTGTCAACAGATGGTTTTTAAAATAACAAAATAACAAAGTTGATGACACAAATAACATGTTAAAAAGGAAGCCATGAACTTTTCTCATCATTAATATCAACTGGAGTGATGCTGTAGGTCATAAATGAGCTTCCTTGAAGGCTTCGTATATGACAGGCACTGTGCTGAGTGCTCTAATGGCATCGCGGTGTACTCTATTTCACCTGGTAAGAAAGGCATCAAGTTATTTTACAGACAGACAAACACACAAGGTTTACATAACTTGCCAGAGGTTGTCCCAATGTCTGCAAACTGGCAAATAGTTTTAGATGGCTCTAAATATGTTCTTTCTCCTTTCCTTACTGAAAATGATGAATGAGTGTAAATCAAAAGCTATTGAAAGGATTTTTCAAAAGATCACCAGGATGGAAAGATTTTTCAAAAATACAAGCAGAAAGTACTATACCTGAGACTCTGAAAACTGTAGGCTGTGCACTGAGACGTGTAGACTCTGAAAAAAAATAGCAGAAACGAGATCAACCATGCAGTAAAAATTCTCATGCTTCAATTTACTATGAAAAAGGACTGCTATACATTTTACACATAAGAAATGCCCAACAGCAGAAATTCAGACACCTCTGTGATGTATATAATGTGCTAAGAACCTATGAAAACACAAATTTTATGTCATAACATCTGTCACGGAAATGAAAATGAGAGCGAGGTAATTAAACTGATTCTTTTTAATTATTCAGTATCATGGATATTTAATGTCTGAGAAATAAAATCTAGGAAAAAAAGACACACTTTGCACCTTTGATACATTTTGGCATCTTAGGCTCCCAAGTACTTTTCGCTCCACACACAATAGTGGCACTGCCTTCAAGGTAAAAGCCCTCCAGGCATTCCAATACAACCGTCGCTTTGTAGTAAAACCTTTTCCCAAATCCTGACACCAGTCTTCCATTTTTAAGTACTGGATATTGACATTTGACCACTGAAAAGACAAGAAATTCCAGAATTAATGGAATGCTGTTTTAATGTAGGATCAAAAAACTAGTGCAAAATAGGAATGTACCTGGGAACAAAGAGACAGGAAATGGAAGGCAGGATGTTATTTTTTTAAAAGACGTTATTTGTGCATTTTATAACCTTTCCCACCTAGAACAGACTGTCGTGACAGGTTATTGGTTTCCTGTATGTTTTCCTATTACTGACAGGTTTTGAGAGAGGCCTGACTACCACATACAACTTTTGGGTGAATTCAAAAACAGCTTGGGATGCTCTGTGGCTCTAGGAATTTTTAAAAATAAATTCTATGCTGACACCGATTTAGTAGCCTGATCTTTCAGAAAGGCAGGAAGGAAAGACCCTTGTATAAAGGTAATACTGGAGCTCTATTTCTATTGTTCTCACTTCAGGTGTACCGATCTTTTCTATATTGTGCTCAACTGCTGTTAGTCACAGTAATGACTCTAAGTTAGGTTTACTGGATAGAAATCTCACACAGTAAAACCATTTTCAGTGCACAGCTTGTATGAGGTTCAATAAATGCAAACACTAGTCATGTGATTTCCAACACGAAAGACATAGAAGAGTTGCATTATTCTCTACCATTTCCTCATGCCACTTTGTAATCAACCCTCCCCACAAGCACCTCCAGCCACTTTCCCCAACCAGACAACCATTGATCTGTTTTGTATTACTCTAGCGTTTCTTTGGCAGAGTGTCATAATGGGCTCACAGCCTGTGAGTGTGGCTTACTTCACTTAGCACAACGCATTTGATATTGCTTTCTGTCCTGGTGTCGATTAGAAGCTTATTGCTTTTTATTGAGGAGTGTTATTCCAGTATGTGGGTGTGCCATGGTTGTTCATTCATTCACCAGCTGAAAAGCAAGTGGCTGTTTCCAATGTGGCATGAGTATGACTAATGCTGCTATGAGTATTCTTACGTAGGTTTATACGTGAACATGTTTTAATTTACCTGGGTTGCTGCACTGTATGGAAGGAAAGTGTATCTCTAACTTCGTAAGAAATTGCCAAACAGTGCTCTAAAGTGGACATACACTTTAAGTGCATTCTTAGCAGCTATACATGAGAGCTCCAATTGTTCCATATCCTTGCCAGAGCATGGTATTTTTAGATTCTTTCTTGTTTCTATTTCCAGCCATTCTAGCGGGTGTTCAGTGGTATCTCATTGTGGTCTCCAATTATATTTCTGTATTTATTAATTATAGTGAGCAACTTTGCATATAGTTTCTGCTATCCATATATTTATGTTGATGAAGTAGGTCTATTCACAGATATTTTTTCCCATTTTTTAAAATATTGGGTTGTTTTCTAATTGTGTTTTGAGAGTTCTTTATGTATCTTTGACACAAGTTCATCGTCAGATATGTGCTTTGGAAGTATTTTCTCCCAGGCTTTGGCTCATTTTTATAAACTCTGATAACAATGTCTTTTGAGAGCAGAAGCTTTGAGTTTGTTAAAGGATCACACTCTTGTACTTAAGAAATCTTTGGCCAAGCCCTGACTATGTTCCCTCTTTTTAAGTAAAAGTGTTATCATTGCTAGTTTAAGTTAAGTCTGAACTCTGTTTTTAGTGCATGAGTGAAAATGGCGCACACATGGGTTGTGGTTTTCTTTTATGGCATATTGGTGTTCAATTGTGCCTGAACTTCTGCCATTTTTTCCACTGAATTGCTTGTACGTATGTGTAATAAAATCAATTGGACCCATATGAAAGGGTCTGTTCTAGGTTCTCTATTCTGTTCTATTGTTTCTATTATATGCTTTTTGGTATACTGTATAATAAGTCTTGACACCAGATCGAATGAGCCTTTTATTCTTTTTCAAAATTATTTTGAATATTTTAGTTCTTTTATGTTTCCATATAAATGTTAGAATCAGTTTGTCAATTTCTATAAAACTTCTGCTGGAATTTTTAGTGAGACGATAATTTATAGGTCAGTTACAGAGTATTAACATCTTTGTTGTACTGAGTCTTGCAACACATGAACAATGAATCTCTCACTGTTAATGTCTTCTTCAAGTGTTTAGTTGTTTTAACCATTCGAATACTGTACAAGTGTTGTTAGATTCATTTGCAAGTATTTCATGTAGTGCAGAGTTGTAAATAATGCTTTTTAAATTTCTCATTGATTATTGCTAGTGCATAGGCTCACCATTGATTTCTGGATGCTGAGCTTGTGTCTTGCAATCTTGGCAAGACTTCATTCACTCATGTTTTCCACACAGACAATCATGCCATAATTGAATAAGTCTATTTTATCTCTGCCTTTCCCTTGTGATGTTCATTTCTCTATCTTGCCTCACTGTGCTGAAGAGAACCTCCAGTATATAATGATGAATGGACTGGTAGGAGTAGACATCCTTGTCCCATTCCTACCTCAGTGGGAAATATGTTATCAAGTGTAATGTCTGTGTGATTCTTGTAGGTGCCTTCTATTAGGTTGAGATAGTTAGGTTCCCTCTATTCCTAGTTTGCTAAGAAGGTTTACCATGAAAGATGATGAATTCTGTCAAATTCTATTATGATTATAAGTTTTTTCTCCTTTAGAGTCTCTGTATATGGTAAATTATCCTGACTAATTTTTGAATTTGCATTCATGGAAAAATCTTACTTGTTTACAATATATTCTTATTGTTATTATATTTGACAGGATTTTATCTGTTAATATTTTGTTTAATAGTTTTGGTTCTATGTTCACAGTGGATATTGTTTTTAATTGTCCTGCAAATTTTATTATTTTCAATGAAATTAACTTTTCATTGTTGATATTGGTAATTTGTAGTTTCCTCTTTTCTCTCAGACTGGCTATGGGTTATCATTTTACAGATCTTCTCCAAGGAACAGGTGTAGGTTCTAATGATTCCCTCTACATTTCCCTTTTCAATGTTATTGCTTTCTAATTTTATCATTTTCTTCTGTTTCCTAATTCTGAGTTCAATTTGCTCTTCTTTCTTAGTTTCTTAACGTGAAAGCTTAGAATGTTAACCTGAAACTTTTCCCTTGTTCTAACATAAGTGTTTCATGCTATGAATATCCCTCTGGGCAATGGTTTTGCTGCATTCCCAAAATTCTGATATGTTGATATATTGTGTTTTTACTTCTGTTCAATTCAAAGCACTTTCTAATTTCTCTTGTGCCTCCTCCTCTTATTGTCGTTCTGTTAGAAGTGTCTTGCATAATCTGTAAATATTTGGGGGTTTTATAGATATCTGTTTTGATTTCCACATTCATTCCACTGTAAAGACATTGCACTGTAAATAATTTCAATTATTGAAATAAAAATTTTCAAACATATTGCCTAGAATATGGTACTAAAGATCATTCTAGATGCACTTGAAAAGAGGCTATGTTTTCCCTCTCTTCTTCACTGGTTCCCTTTGTTCAAGAAACAAATATCCTCCGTGTCTCCCTGCTTTTGGTCGTGTCTGAATATCTTAAACATTGTATTTTAAGCATAGGCAAACCTGTGAGATATTGCAGGATTGTTTCAGACTATAGCAATAAGTGAGAATCTAAGGAAAGCAAGTCACAGTTGTTTTGCTGGATATGACATTGCCTTCAATTTGCAGAATGAGATATGTGTGAAACACAATAAAGCAAAGCACAATTAAACAAGATATGCTTGTACATTTTGTCCAGAGTTTATCAATCTTATTGGTGAGAGGGTTTGTCTTTTACAATTTATTCTACCATTTCCTTTAGTCAGGACTGCTGTAGTCTCATATTATAACACAAAACTTTCTTAAAGCCAATGTATGCTCTTTGATGCTTTTAAAACAAAAAAAAATTTATTCTTGAAAACGGAGTAATTAACAATGTCTCAACAGAAACGCCAAGAACATGTGGGTTGAAGAATAAGAAATTCTAGAACTAGAATTATTTTTGATTCCATTTGACACATATTAATTAGAAACCAATTTAACAGGGAAAGCAAGCACAAATAGCATTTTTAAAAACCTGTAGGCCAAAGTACTTAAAAGTTGGTAAAAATTTACACACTATGACAAATGGAAGGGAAGTAAATGGAAATATTATTACCTTTACACTTAGGAGGTTCACTACTCCATTGGTTATGCCCAGAACAGACAAGCCTGCTTTCTCCAACAAGTGAATATTCATCTGGTCCAGCTGAAGGATTACATCTATAAATTACTACTTCATTATATTCAAATGTATCCTTGTGGCTATTGGTGTATCTTCCATTTGATATTTGTCTAGGTGGTTGACACAAGATTTCTTAAAAATAAAAAAAGGACACAAAAAGGCAGAAGAAAAGCTGAAAGACTAAGACTGTGTTAGTAATGTCCTGTGAACTACATTCAATAAATTTATTAACATATGATTTCTACAATCTAGTTGTGAATCCAATACCCAGCTAAAAGAAGGTTTCTTTGAGAAATTATATTGTCCCAACTTAAATCATTAATAGAGAAATAACATGTGAGAATAAAACCTGTTTCCTTCGATACCCATGTAAGATACCTAAATAAAATACATGTATTTATCTGTAACGCCATGCTAAGCTTTTTTTCTAAGCGTAATAGATGCTGACAATTTATTGATGAAATATACTTCTGATTAAGGAAAACTCAGTGCTAGCTGAGAAATGAGACATCTGTCCCTAAATCTATAGTTCCTAGGTAAGCCAAGATTCTACTGTCCTTTCTCACTGTCATCCTTCAAAGTGTACAGTGAAATTTTCCAGTGGCTTCAAACATTGTTTGATAAAGCAGAGGCCTGAGTCCTGAGGTCTCCCTTTGAGCCGGAGACTGGAGAGATTAGAAACCAAGGACAGCAGTGGCATTCTTCTCAATGTTTGTTTTGGACATTTTTGATTTTGCACAAAAGAATATGTTGCATAAGTTAACATGTATGGAGTTTACTGCTTTTGAAAATGAAATACTACATAATCATTCAGAAAACTTCTCCGTTTTAATTCCAGTATAAAGATTATCAGTAGCGCTAACCCACCTGCAGAAAAGCTCTGTGGGGCCTTTGTTCATTTTAAGGCACAAATGGGGCCCCAGGTGACAAAGTCTGAGCACTGCTGCCCCAAAGCCGAAAGAGAGGGTACACTTACTCTCACACTGTGGGGGACTGTCACTCCATTCCACTCTTTTTCCAGAAAGTTTGCAATATAGAATTTTTGTTCCAAGTAGATAATAACTAAATGAGAAAAGAAATGGTTATTGTTCTCTGTATCAGTTAACAAGAATACATAACAATGAAGAAATATTTCAGGAGATTCAAGATGGCAGATGAGTGAGTGAAGCCACACTGACCTCATCTCAGGACCAACCTGGAATTACAACTAAATTGTGGAGAAATCACCCGGAACAAACAACTGAACAAGAGTGAGAGAGGAGCCCTGTAACCTCGGAGACAGAAGAATTGGCTTTAGCACAATCTAACTGGTAAGGAGTGTGGTACAGACCTGAGAAGGCAGGTTGGGCACCCAAGGTCGCAGCACCGGAAGGATATTGAAATGGCCAGTTGGATTCCCCTGAGAAGAGTGGGGTCTCAACCAAAAGCAGGGATCTCTACCCCACAGCACCAGAGCCCAAAAGGTACATGAAAAACAGCCACCTGCGAGAAGTGGCAGGGTTGCTCTCTGCCAGAGGCAGGTGGCTGAAGATGCAAAGAAATGTTTAAAGGGCCAACGCATAAATTTTCTTTTGCAGCCACTTACCATGGTCTCTGGCAAAGGCAGGGGCAGAGTGGGTTAGAGATGCCTGAGGAGAGGCTAGGGAGGGAAGCTTTGGGGAGAGAACTGAGAGAGTAGCCGGTGGTATCTGGGTGCTGACTCATCCTCCACGTGGTGGCAGCAGCCATCTTGCTCAGGCAGAGACCACTTCCCCTGAGTGGCACCAGGTCAAAGGACCCAATAGTCCCACCCCCAGGTGAATTTCCACCCCACCCTGTGCTGTCTAAACTGCCTGCTGAGTGCAGAGTGGCAGCCACAGACAGAAGATCCCTGGTTAAAGGGGGCGCAGAGAGGGCTGGTGACACTTGAGGAGAGCCTGGGGATGGAGGCTTTGGGGAGCGAATGGAGAGATTAGCCGGCAGGATCCCAGTGGAGACTCCTCCCCCATATGCAACAGTGTGAGAAGACCCAATAACCACCCCCCAGGAGGGACTCCGCCCCGCCCTGAGCTGTCTAAGGCGGCCTGCTGAGTGCAGAGTGATGAGATTAATAGCTGAAGGAGACAGCCACAGACAGTAGATTATTGGAAGTCTCAAAAAGACTGCCTAAGGTCAGACAGGGACGACATATGACATCATCAGAGGCAGATCCAGAAAGTAAAAATAGCGGTCTCCAACCACAGAAGTTCATACCACAAAGTCAGGAAATCAAGACAGATAAGCTTAATAAACAGAAGCAAAAGAGAAGAATCTCTATCAAATAATGGGAAGACAAAGAAGTATGCTCCACTCAAAGGGAAAGGAGGAATCCCCACAAAAAGAACTAAATAAAACAGAGGCAAGTAAACTATCAGATATTGAGTTACAAACAACAGTTCTAAGGAAGCTCATTGAGCTCAGTGAGCTCAGAGAGAATTACCAAAAACTACAGGGAAACTATGAGGAACTTACTGCAAACAATATCAACATGAAAAAGGACATAGAAACTATCAATAAGAGACCAGAGGAAATGAAGAATACAATTTCTGAGTTGAAGAACACAGTAGAAGGAATCAAAAGCAGGCTAGACAAAGCTGAGGACCAAATCAGCGAGCTGGAGGACAAGGGAGAAAAAAGTTCCCAGAAAGAGCAAGGAAGTGAAAAAAAGACTCAGAATGAAGAGGCATTTAGAGAAATGCAGGACAACCTGAAATGTAATAATACCCATATAATAAGGATACCAAGAAAGGAGGATGAGGAAGGGATAGAGAACCTGTTTTTAAAAGTAATGATGGAAAACTTCCCTAATTAGGGGAGAAAAAGTCACACAAGTCCAGGAAGCACAGAGGGTCCCATTCAAGAGGAACCCAATGAGGCCCACTCCAAGACACATCATCATTAAAATGGCAAATATCAAAGACAAACAGAGAATCCTAAAGCAAGCAAGAGAGAAAGAGGTAGTTACATATAAGGGAGCCCTGATATGGCTAGCATCTGACTTCTCAACAGAAACACTGCAAGCCAGAAGGGAATGGCAAGAAATATTCCAAGTATTGAAAAGCAAAGGCCTGCAACCAAGACTGCTCTACCCAGCAGGGGTCTCAATTAAAACGGAAGGCAAAATATGGAGTTTCCCAGACAGAAGAGGGCTAAAAGAATACACCTCCACCAAACCAGCACTGCAAAATATGCTAAAGGGAATGCTTTAAGATGAAGAAAAAGATTATATGAATACCCAGTTCCTTTTAGAGTTGCCAATACTTGATATTACCAATATTTTTAATAGGCCTTAATCTGATTTTGACAGTGATGTTATTTTAATTGTTCCTTTACTATTTGTTGAAACTAAACCTGTTTTAGTATACTTCTTGTCTATTTCTATTTTTTAAAAAAAAAGTTTTAAATGACTTTTTTGGTATTGTTTATCCATATATTGATTAAAGGTTTGTAGCACTTTTTACCTAAAAAAAAAACTCTATTAACCATGTTTTAGATGTGTTGCAAAGACTTTTCTATTCTATTCCTTGTCCTTTAACTTTTTTATATGTATATTACTATATAGTAAAATGTTTAATATAGTCATATTGTCAATATTTACTTTATAGCTTCTGGGGTTGAATATTTTACTTCATGTCATGAAAAATATTAGTTCTATTTTCTCCTAAAACTCCTTAGATTCTGCATATTGATTTTTAACTCACCTGAATATTTCTTGTATAATGTGTGAAATAGGGCTCTATATATATTTTATTTCAAGTATTAGTGGTCCATGGACCTTATTTGTTGAATAAACCTTATTTTAACCATTATTTGAAATATCAACTTAATCATACATATATTAATCAGATATATACATTTGTCTCTAGAATGTTCATGATATTTCATTGATCTCCTTGATTATTTCTGTGCTGGTGTCACGTTGGTTTAATTGCTGAGACTTTATAGTTGTTTTAAATTTTTTTAGTACTTTATAATTAACTTTGACATTAAAAAATAAATAAAATCAATCTGCACTTAAGAAAGAAGGAGAGAGAGATGGAACTCTTACCTTTTGCAACAACATGGATGGAACTGGAGAATATTAAGCTAAGTGAAATAAGCCACTTATATTCATCAAATTGAAATTTCATCAAATTTCAGTTGATGAAAGATAATTACCATATGATCTCACCTGTAACTGAACTGTATTCAACAAAATAAACTAATGAACAAAATAAACCACAGGCATGGAAACATGGAGCAGACTGAAAGTAACCAGAGGGGAGGGGGAAAGAGAACAATGGTGGAAAGAAGGGGAAGGGACTAAACAAAGAACATGTATAAATGACCCATGGACATGGAAAACAGAGTGGGAATTGACTGTGGGAGAGGGGGGTGGGGTGGGATGGGTGGAGGGGTTAAAGGGGAAAAAATTGAGACAACTGTAATAGAATAAAAATGATATATAAATTTAAAAAAAGCAAAAAAGAACCTGACAAGATATTAAAATAAAAAAAGAAAATCTTATGTATATACATATATATGCATACTAGAAATAAAGAATATTCTTTAAAATGTAAAAAAAAAAAAGGAAATATTTATGTGCTTGTTTCCTGCACTACAGTAGCTTCAGGAAGAATATTATTTAGTGATGTTTGTAGCACATGCTAACCAATTCTGCAATTTAACGAAAGAGACTTTTCATATGAACACATATTGGCCTAGAGCAAAATGTCTACATAAACCTTTCATACCTGACAGGCTGGGGATTGCTGCCTCCGCAGACAGAACACATGGTCACTCTGTGTCCTTCTGCATGCCGTTCTGCTCACTCAGGAGAACGACTGAAGAGAGATCTGGCCCAACAGCTTTCTTGCTAGGATGTGAGTCCCAGTTCCAAGACTGACTTGTCTTTTGAGCTCAGGCAAGACCCTCAATGTTTCTCTTTCTTCAATTGCTCATCTAGGGAAATGGTTATATGCTCTGGGATTGTTCTGAGTAGTAGGTAAATTAGCGTCTGGAATACAGTGAGTGCTAGGAAGTTTTGGGTGTTATGAATATTCTTCAGATCGGAATATCTTCCTAGGGATAGGTCAGGAAGACCCCGACTTGATGAAATGTTTGATGACTGAAATTCACAGAACTCTCTCTTCCTTCTGGAGTCTTCTTATACTGATCACAAATAAGTCATTTCTGTGGTACTTCTCATTTACTATTTTCCTTGGACACCTCTCTGTGTATATTGTGTGTATCAATAAAGCTAAGACTTTTTTGAGATAATCTCAAAATATTCATTCAAAATCAGCAACTTGCAACCTTTGTCATCTTATGGCACACATATATGAATTTCTAAAGTTCTGTGGCACAAAAAAATACAATTTTCCCAATCTGTCTGACAAAAACATAGGTTTGATTTCGATGCATTCACCCTGGGTGGTTATTGTGTTGGCTGTTGTCTTTTTTTTCACTTGAAAATCTGAGAAAAAATAGTTCAGTGCCTTTGACTAAATGGTCAGGTATTTCAGGTTTTAAAAATGCCTGCAACACAGGAGTGCGCTCCTGTGGCAGGCTGGTTGAAAACCGCTGGCCTATGTGTTAACCTTTCGCTGCTTCACAAGGTGGTTAGCAGGCTGTCTCTATATAACTAGTGATGGGACACTCTCACTTGATCAAGTTAAAAAAAAGAAAACTCAGGAAAACTGCCTGTACCTTCTTCCAGCTGAAATTTCCCCCAAGGCTCATTGATTTTATGTTATAATATGGGAGGAGAGATTTCTGGGATTATGGCAGGATAGGAAGCACCAAAAATAAGTCTTCCTGGCTAGACAATAATTTCGCTGTTAGAATCCGCCTGATGTAACTCTTTTGAGACTCTGGAGTCTTGATGTTGAAAGCTTGCAAGTTCCAGGAAGGACTTGGACAGGAAAATTGCTTTAAAACTGGTCACTTTCAGTTCTTAGCGCAGGGTAAGGGCCTGTCCCACTCCCACAGCAGGCAGCCGTGCGTGTCTTCCTGAAGCTGCTCATAAGCAGCCTGAGGGATGCAGGGTGGGCAGAAAAAGACCATGTCCTTAGGGATCTGTGCTCTTACATTGGCTACTGTTTCTGATCACAGAGAAGCAAACAGAAAAGCAGGCAGCTCCTTCCAAAACATGCAAGCCCCATCGGTCCCTCTTTCGGTTTTAACTTTTTCCTCTTTCAGGAGGCAGACATTAAAAAGGGTGACATTTGAAAACAACTGCAAATGTCAAGAAAAAGCCTCAGTTTACATGTCAGGCTCATTCTTAGAACAGAGACATTTTCAACCATCAAAAACCAAAAACAATAAAGAAACAACAAACCTTATGAAATGGTGAGAATCTGACACCCAGAGTTAGCCCCATTATTGGACTCAAATATTCAGTTCAAGCACAAAACTAAAAGTTACATGGCATACAGAGAAATAGGAAAGTACGGTCCATTCAAAGGAAAAAAAAAATCAACAAAAAATTATTTCCGAGAGAGATCTAAGGGGCTACTTGCTAGCAAAAGGCTTTAAAGTAGTCATTGAGATGCAAGTGCATCTTTTGCAGACCGTCTCGGTGACAAACCTGCATTTTCCAGTCCCACAGCCTTCCTTTTCTCCATGAGACAGCTGAGTGGCAGATGCAGAGATGCCGGTGTTTGTGAACACCCTGATGGGCAAGACCCTCCCTCCCAAGGTGGAGCCCAGTGATACTACTGAGAATGTCGAAGCCAAAGTCTAAAACAAGGAGTGCATCCTCCTGACCACCAGCATCTGCTGTTTGCGTGCAAACATCTGGAGGAGCGCCCCCCTCTGTCAGACTGCAATTCCAGAAAGAGCCCGCCCTGCATTGGCAGCCTCCCTGATGCGGGGGCATCAGTGACGTTTCCCTCCACCAGCTCCCCAGGAACACAGCAGCCACAAGAGCTACCGGCGTCGTGCTTGCCTGCGCCTTTCTGCTGTGGATGAGGGCAAGAGGTGTGGCCATGCCAACAGCCTGTGACCAAGAGGAAGTTGAGAAGCAGGCTCTCCACAGCCCACTCCAATGTAAGCAGGGGGGTCCCCTGCCAGAGAGCCATGGTCCCGGGGCCTCAATAAAATTGGAAAAAAATTAGTAACTGTCTTACGGATGTTCAAAGACCTAAAGGAAGAAATGCATAAAGTGAAGAAAACAATGAGTAAATCAAATGGAAATATAAATTAGGAGGTAGAAACCCTAAAAATAACATTCCCTCTAAAATTCTGGAGTCCAAAGTTCAACATAAATGGCCATTCTGTAGATGACTTAAATGCAGCTTGGAACAGGAAGAAGGAAGAGTCAGGGAACCTGAAGTTGGACAATGAAGACTATTTAGTCTGAGATCAAAAATAAAAACATTGAAGTGAATAGTGCCTAAGGGACTGACGGGACCTGTGGGTCACCGATAAGCAGACCAATATTTATCCACTGTGGCAACCCCGGGAGGAAAGGATAGAGAGAAAGGGGCTGAGAGAATTTTAGAGAAATAATGACTGAAAGCTGCCCAAACTTGATCAAACGCATGACTGTACATATTCAAAAACCTCATCCAACTCCCAGTAAAATGCAACCAAAGACCCATAGTAAGACCCATAACAATCAAACTTTCAAAAGCCAGCAACAAACTGAGAATTTTGAAAGCTGCAAGAGGGAAGTGAATCATCAGGTACAAGGGATCCTAAACATGATTATGGGCAGACTTCGCATCAGAAACCTGGGGAGCAGAAGACACTGCGCTAATAGGCTAAGAGTGATAGAAAAAAATGGTCGGCCAAAAATCTTCTACACAGCAAAAGTGTGCTTCAAAAGTGAAAGAAACGGTAAGACTTTCCCTGAAACCAAAGTTCAGACAATCTGTTATCACTATATCTCCCCTGCAAAATTGCTCAAGGGTGTCCTAAAAGGTGAAATTAGAGGACAGTAGAGAGTATCTCTGGCTGTGCAGACCAGCATCTCATGGAGGGCACATACATGAGCAACAGTGAAAGCTAGCACTGCTGGAACAATGGCTTGTAAATGCATTTTATTTTCTGTGTGATTTAAGAAGCTAGTCTTACAATCAAAATAAATCATGTAGAAGCTGGTATTCTGATTATTATTGTAGGGTAGTAAGATTTTAACCACCCAAAGGAGTGAGATGGAGCTGACAGAATCCAGTGTTGTAATTTATCGAAGTGAAGTTGGTATAAATTCAAACTGTGGTGTTATAACTCGAGGATGGTAAATGTAATCCCCATGGGAACCACAGACAAAATCACGACTGAATACACACAGAAGGGGATGAGACAGGGATCCCAACATTTCATTACAAAAAGCAACTAACAAATAACAGGAATGCACAAATTGAAGGGGGAAGGAAAACTTTCAGAAAACAGCTCCCTCCTTATCAGTAATTACTTTCAATTTTAATGGATTATACTCTACCATCAAAAGGCAGATATGGATGGAAGGGATCAGAAGCACAAGACTCAACTCTATGCTGTCTGCAGGGACTACGCTGAGATTCCAAGGCATGAACCGGTTGAAAGTGAAAGGATGGAAAAAGACATTCCATGCAAACTGGAACCAGAAGACAGCACGGATGGCTGTTCCAATTCAGACAAAACAGACCGAATCAGAAAAGGCTTTAAGGGAGAAGCAGCACATCGCATTTTAGTAAGTTTTATACACTTCAAGAAGACATACTAAGTATAAGCATTTATGCACCTACTGACAAACCTTCAAAATATAGGAAGCAAAACCTGACAACTGAAGGGAGAAATACACACTTCTACATAATAGGCATTTCCCCAATAACAGTTAGAGGCCTCAACCCCAGGCCCAACAATGGATGACACAACTAGACTGAAAATAAGGAAGGAGCGGACTTCAACAACACAATCGACTACCTTTCGCAGACACAGAGCTCCATGGAGCAGAACTTACTTTCTCATCATGCTCACGTGGCACATCTTCCAGGAGAGGTCATACGGTCAGCCGCAAATTAATATTAATGATAAAAATGGTTTTAAAGATATAGATATCATACAAAGTATCTTCTCTGTCCCCATGGGGTAAAGTTGTTGAACAACAACCTTCACAGACAGAAACTTTTCTGAAAGAATAGATTCATTGACTGGCCACATGCTAGTCAAGGGAAATACAAAAAACAAAGAAACAACAAACAAACTAAAAAATAGATCCTGGGGCATGAGGTCTAAACCACCAGCGGCAGGGACGGTTGTAGAAAGCAAACATTCGTGCCATCCCGGGGTTCTTTTCATAGTTTTAAGTAGAAAGATGTAAGGTGTTTTGAAGGAATATACGTTGGCTATTTATGAGGCGAGCGCGTAAGAGAGTAAGTGGGGCTAGTTCTGGGATAGGTGCATAGTCTATATTGGAAGAGATGTTTGGGGCCTTTAGATTGCTGGATGGAAGTAATCTGAAAAGTTCACATGTATGCAGGATGTGGTGAAACCTGGTGGTCAGCTACACCTTTCTAATTTATTTTAAATTTTAAAATCACAATTTATTTTTTAAAGATTTTATGGTTTTTTTTAGAGAGAGGGGAAGGGGAGGAGAAAGAGAGATAAACATCAATGTGTGGTTGCCTCTCAGGCACTCCCTACTGGCGACCTGGCCCACAACCTAGGCATGTGCCCTGACTGGGAGATGAACTGGCAACCCTTTGGTTGCAGGCCAGCCCTCAATCCACTGAGCCACACCAGCAAGGACGGCTCCTTTTTGGATGAGAGCTGTAGCAGTTCTTATATTAACACTATTCTTGAAATTGCTCTGGTAGTTGATTCAAAGTTTCAACATACATTCCAGAAAGGGAACAATCTAGTGTCTTCCCTTGGCTTTGTTAACTGATTAACTTCCTGTCTGTCCTTCCCACCCTCAGCCTCCTGGAATTTAATTTATGAACATGATTAATGATTACTACATTTTCAATGTCTACAATAGGCTTATTATTACATATGGTATTATATAATTTTGCTTTCCTTCCATTTAAGTTTCTTTCTATTTATTACACACCTGTATCCATAAAAAGCCCAAGTTCATTGGCTGTTAAGTACAAGTTGTTACACAGAAAACAAGATGAAATCAACATTTTGGGAATACTTAGTAGAGAACCAAATAAAATCAGAACTAGTACACATTTACCTTTCTTCTGTTAGGAGCAACTTACCCCTCATTGCAAACATAGTGAGCCTGTGAACCAAACTGGAAAGTTCCATTTATGTAGTTTACTTCACCATTTACAGGTTCTCCTAGCTGTGGACATGATTTCCCTAAAAGAAAATTTTCAAATTTGTTGTTTTATACCAATATCAAACAGAATAGAATCAAAATAGAAACTCTACATTGTTCTATTAAATTCATGGAAATATTTTCTTTCTTATTTGTTTTTATTAAATTTATTAGGGTGACATTGGTTAATAAGTTTATATAGGTTTCAAGTGTACATTTCTATGACACATGATCTGTATATTGCATTGTGTGTCCATCTCTTAAAGTTAAATCATTCATATCACCATATACTGGGTCTTCTTTACCCTTCATTACCCACCCCCACCAACCCCCTTCCCTCTGGTAACCACCAAAATGGCATCTGTGTCTAGAAGTTTCAGTTTTATATCCCACACAGGAGTGAAATCATATGATTCTTAGCTTTTTCTGGCTGACTTATTTTGCTTAGCATGTTATTCTCAAGGTCCATCCATGTTGTCACAGATGGCTGAATTTAAAAATCACATTTCCCGAGAGAATAGAGAACCAAAGAAAAAATTTCCTGGAGATTTTCAAAGCCTGAAAAAAATACATTGCTACCTAAACCCTACCTTCACACAAGAAGACCATCATCTCAGTAGTGACATGACATCTAAAATATGTGAAAGTCTCTAGAGCAATGAAGGGAAAACTTTTGTGTACTTACTTTTGCAAGCCTCCTGGAGAGGTGTCCATATGCCATCAGGTTGACAAACAGAAGACACGGGGAGAAGAGGAACACTGCGCATATATCCTGGGCGACACTGATATTCTACGTTGTCCCCATTACGGTAAGTGATCTTGGGATGACCTTTGAGCCTCATAGATTCAAATCTCGGTGGAGCACCACAGGCATCTGAGCATAACAGAAGGACAACATGGAAGTAAAGCATTTTCTCCTTTTCATCAGCTGTGGATTATGGCCTGGCAGCAGGCAGGCAGGACAGAATACATGGAAAGGTCCTGGGCAAGATTTCAAGTGATTGTTCCGTGCTTTTACCGGACGAGGTGCCTCGCCTGATTTAAGTAACATTCTATCAGCTTTTGGTTTTGGGGGAGTCAGGAGTAATTGAAGAGACGGCAGCAAAATTTTTGGTTTTAAAATATATTTATAGGTATGCAACTTTCAACATTTTTTCTGAATTCATTTCACACTCACTCCTCCCCTAAGAACACTTCTATAGAATATAGCCCTCATCAGATTACTCTTCCACAGTTTGAAATGCAAACCAATGATGATGACTTGTCACTTGAGGTATGATCTTTTATAGGAATGCAAGTTCCTAGAGGTCAGGGACCATATGTCTTCTTTTCCTACTGTACGCTGTACCTAGTGGGTGCTCAAGAAATGCTATTGTAAGCACTGACTATTAAATAATCGTTGCGGATTTCACAAGTCAAAATAAATATGGATTCTTTCAAAATGGAAGACTTCATATGTTCCATATGAGTGAACATATAATAAGTGAACACTTTATAAGAGAACAGATGACAATTAAATGTCAACATTTATAACTCTGACATTATTTAAATATAATTTATTCTTCCTTCACTAATCAATGGATCATTCTGGGCCTCAAAAGTCCTCCGAGTTAGCTGTTTGGGCTGTACGGATACATTGCTATGCCATCAGAATTTTTTATTTGTAGATTTTTTTTGGTAGTTTTTTTTCTTCCTAGAATAGTGTCATTTCTACTTTAGCAATTGCTCTTCCTTCAAATTACCTGTGTGCTTGAAAACCTAACAAATCTGATAGAACCACCGCAGAAAGTAACGTGCCGGAGACACATAAAGCACTAAAGGGCTAAAAGAATGCAGAGGCCTCCCCTATAAAGTTAAGGACCTAAGGAGAAAGGAGATTGATCTGTTTTGATCCCTGAGGAACTTTTCTTATTCCTTGGATTGGTTAAACTAAAAAAAATATATATATATATTTGCACTTCTGTCAAAAAACAAAAATTATGTGACTTTTAAAATTAAATTCACTGGAGTAACATTGGTATTGTATAAATTTCAGGTATACAGCGTTGTGATGGGATATCCGCACACTCCACTGTGAAGTTAAATCTCCTTCCCTCACCTCCCTTTAACCTCTTTATGCCCCTCCCCCACCATCACCCTTCCCTTCTAGTAATTGCCGTTTTGTTGTCTGTAACTGGTTTTTTTTGTTTGTTTGCTTTGTCTGTTTATTTGTTGCTTTTTGTTTAATATCCCACATAGGAGTGAAATCATAGTTTTTGTCTTTTTCTGGCTGACTTAGCATAATACTCTCAAGATCCATCCATGTTGTTTCAAATGACAATATTTAACCTTTTCTGTGGGGCTGAGTAGTATTCCACTGAATATATGCACCACATCTTCTTTATTCCATTACTCATTAAAGGGCACTTCGGTTGTTTCCATGACTTGGTTACTGTGAATAATGCTGTTCATGTTCCAGATATAAGGTTCATGTTCATGGGGTACTCTATAACTTGATCAGTCTTTTCAAATTTCCTGGCAGACGCCCTGAAGAAGACTACTGATTCATATGTTAGCTGATATTCTTAATATTTTTGATGAACGTTCATACTGTTTTTTATAGTGGCTGCACCAATTTATAGGGAATCCACGAGCAGTAACTGAGGATTCCCTGTTCTCCATAAGCTCTCCAATGCTTGTTATTTCTTGTCGTATTGATAACAGACATTCTAAGAGGTGTGAGGTGGTATCTCAATGTGGTTTTGATTTGCATCTCCCTCATAATTAGTGATGTCGAGTATCTTTTAATATATTGTTAGGTCATCTGAATGTCTTCCTTGAAAAATTGTCCAGTCCTCTGCCCACTTTCTAATCAGATTTTGTTGTTGTTGAGCCGTATGATTTCTTTATATATTTTGGAAATCAGCCCCCTCTCAGAGGTATCTTTTGCAAATATTTTTTTTCCCATTCAGTTGGTTGCCTTTTTGTATTCTTAATGGTTTCTTTTGCTGTGAAGAAGCTTTTAGATTAGATGTGGCCCCATTTATTGAGTTCTCTTTTTACTTCCCATGCCTTTGGGTCAAGTTTACAGAAACCCCTCTGAGACAATAGTTGATAGGTTTAATAGCTATCTTTTCTTCTAGGTATTTTATCGTTGCAGGTCTTACATCCGAGTCTTTAATCCATTTTGAGTTAATTCTTGTATATGATGTCACATAGAAGTCTAGTTTCATTCTCTTGCATGTGGCTTTTCAGTTTTCCCAGTACCACTTTTTAATTATATTTTATCGATTATGCTATTACACTTGTCCCAAGTTTCCCCATCTGCCCCTCCTCCAACCAACCCCCGACGCCCTCCGGCACCCCCACACCGTTGTCCACGTCCACGCGTCCCGCATGTGTGCTCTTTCTTTCCATCCCCACGACCGTTCTATAACTATCACGTTGCGCTTCTCAATCCCGTCTCTCCCTTTGCCCATTCCTCTAACCCCCTCCCATCTGGCACCCGTCAAAATGCTCTCTGTGTATGGATCTGTTTCTGTTCTGCTTGTTTCGTGTTTTAGAATCAACTGTTGATAGATATGTGTTCACTGCCATTTTATTGTTCATATTTTTTATTTCCTTCTTAAATGAGACCCTTTAACATTACATAAAGTACTGGTTTGGTGATTTTGTACTCCTTTAGCTTTTTTTTTTTTTGCCGGAGAATCTCTTTATCTGTCCTTCGATTTGAAATGATAGGTTTGCTGGGTAGAGTAATCTTGGTTGTAGGTCCTTGCTTTTCATCGGTTTGATATTTTTTGCTATTCCCTACTAACCTAAAAATTTCTTTTGAGGAATCAGCTGACAGTCTTATGGGAGCTTCCTTGTAAATAACTGTTTTTCTCTTGCTGCTTTTAACATTGTCTCTTTGCCTTTAACCTTTTTCATTTTTATTATGATGTGTCTTGATGTAGGCCTGTTTGGGTTCAGTTTTTTTGGGTCGCTGTGCTTCCTGGACTTTATGTCTATTTCCTTCACCAAGTTAGGGACATTTTCTGTCATTTTTTCACACTTGCTTTTCATGACTTTGAGAACTTCTTCTCCGTCCCTGCTTGCCTGCAAGGTGTCTTGTGAGAAATCAGCTGATAGTGTATGGGTACTCCTTTGTAGGTAACTCTTTCCTTTTGTCTTGCTGCTTTTATGATTCTCTCCTTATCTGTAGTCTTTGGTAATATAATTATGATGTGTCTTGGTGTGTGCTTCCTTGGGTCCAACTTCCTTGGGAGTCTCTGAGCTCCCTGGATGTCCTGGAAATCTATTTCTTTTTTCAGATTGGGGAAGTTCTCCTTTGTTATTTTTTCAACTAAGTTTTCAATTTTTTGCTCTTCTCCTCCTCCTTCTGGCACCCCTATGTTTCAGATGTTGGAACATTTAAAGTTGTTCCAGAGGTTCCTAAGCCTCTGCTCATTTTTTTGAATTCTTGTTTCTTCATTCTGTCCTGGTTGAATGTTTATCTCTTCCTTCTGCTCCCAGTCATTGATTTGAGTCCTGGTTTCCTTCCCTTTACTGTTGGTGCCCTATATATTTTTCTTTATTTCACTTTTCACTTTTTCTCCATTTTGCCACCATTCTCAACTGATTTTGTGAGCATTCTGATTACCAGTGTTTGAACTCTCCATCGGATAGGTTGGCTATCTCTTCATCACTTAGTTCTATTTTTGGAGCTTTGATGTATTCTTTCATTTGGGTCATATTTCTTTGTTTCACTTGCTTGTTAAAATCTAGACACTCCATATGATAATTAAAGAAGATATAATTAAGGAGACGGTAAATGAGGAGAAGTAAACATTTCTCTTCATTCCTACAGGTATAAAATTGATATAACAGAAATCTGTGTGGCTCAATGTTGGGATTTATTTGTGAAAACAGACTCTATTTTTCTTGAGGGCATTGGAGGGATAACTGATGATGGATGGAGTCTTAAGCTGGGGTTGTGAATACATAATACAGATGATGTGTTGTAGAACTCTGCACCTGTAACCTATACCATTTGGTTAACCAGTATTATGCCAATAAATTTAACAAGGAAAAAAAGAATCTGTTGTTCTCTGCAACCATACTATACAATGTTATATATCACTTATATCTCAATAAAGCTGAAAAAACTTTCCCATCTATTTCTAGGTTCAAAAGTGAGCTTTTTATTTTTTTTCTTGTGAGAAAATTTTAAAAATAAGGAAAAGATATGGTGTTTGCTTTCCTAGTTATAGGCACAAGAGTGAACAACTGAGGTCCTACTGTCACTTTCTTTGAAGTAGTGAAATTTCTATACCTGAGATTTATTAAGCTATTCTTAATATAATTGAAGATTTTCACATTGATTTCTTTAACTTATTTTGTTTTGACTCACCTCAGGCTTCTGAACCTTGTTCTCTATTTTTCTGGGCATGCTCAAGAGGGAGGGATAGAGTTCTCTTGCTGTATCCCCAGTGCTCAGACAGTTCTATGTGTGTAGTAGGTACATAATAAATATGCATTAAATACTGAATGAAATAAATGATGTGACTGTCAAGTGCATTTAACATGTCTGTCCCTCCTCTACCCCAGCTTGGATTTACTTAATGCTGGGAAAGTTCTGAGAGATTTTGATTATAATAATAATTAGACATTGGGAACAAAGCTGGTTTTCTTTCTAATAGGAGTGAACTACAACTAGCTGTATAGAACTCCCCCCCAAATTAGATACGCAAACTGACCTTTGAAGTGGAGCTAATGTCCACCTGTCAGCCCTGAGATCACTGTGGTGACTGAGTTCAAAGGAGCATCGACAGTGAACTTTCTAAAGCCCTGACAGGAATAGAACTCAAAAGACTCAAGGCTCTGAGTGAAACAGGGGAGTAAACTAGTGGTTCCTCTAACTCCCCTCAAAGATTTTGTCAAAGTGCCAAAG